ACTCGCCAGAATGGCAGACTTGGGAATTAAGATCGGCACAGCAAAAAACGAGACGCACACCGGACACGTCAGAAGACTTGTTAATCAACATAGAACTGGTACTATTAGCCATCGGACGTTGGGGTTCATACTGAGGGGAGGATCTGAGCACCTATGGACATGTCCGGAGTGCAATGACGATAACCCAACTAACTAACTAACTAGCTTTCAAAGAATGCTGTTAGAATAAGATAAATGCGCCAATAGTGAAATTCTTTGTGATCACCAGCTGTAAACTCTAGCGGAAAGTTCTGGTTGTTTGTCTACATCTTGACTTCAGTCTTGTTCCAGAACGTGAGTGTTGCATGCACATCTGTTTCACAGATCTGACTTACACTTGTACATGTATGCAGACTATTGTTTCCTTGCCTCTCAGGCAGACGTGCTTTGACTTTGAAGGAAGCTTCCAGTCAGTCAACTCACACCATGCTTGCTGGTGAGGCAGTGGGTGCGTTCTTGTTTCTCCCCCCCCCCCCCCCCCAATAGGGCCCCCGAACCCACACAGGGTATTGGGGTATTGTGTCAATTAATAAAGGGAAAATGTAAGTACTATAATAAATGGTGTTAAAAATTAATAATGTTTTCCTTTTTTAAATTGACATCCAGTTGTAACTTGCCTGCTGACTCTCCTGTGTATACACATTTGGCATGTGTAAAAAATACTGAGTTTTATAAAGAAATAAAAGAACAACATTATAACAACAGAGATTCTACATCTGATTATGTATGAATGGCACTCAATGGCTGACGTGTTGAGTCTACCTTCAGCGACATTCTTCTTCTTCTGCTCTTTATTTCCCTATAGAGCATAGGCCCTCAACCAACTCAGGCCAGGCCACCCTATCTATTGCATGCAGATCATGCCATGTTATTTTTACTTCACCCTCCACTTCCCTTCACGTTTTATGTGTGTGTCTTTCTCTTTGTTCAGAATATGTTAAATACCTAAGTACGGGACTCTTATCCACACCTTCAGGTGTGTTAGGCATATAGGGCTAGATCTATAGACCAATCGGTACTAGGTGAGTGGTGTGGTCAACATCATGCCGGCTGCCTTTACTTCCCAGGACTGTACCTGGTACCCACCCAAGGCTGGGTCGACCTGGGAGCCAAGGTCATTAGAATATGCTATAGTATCCCCATGTATGGCTGGCAGTGTGTGGTTTTAGAACTGGCTCATGAACAGCATCCTGTCCCAGAAACTGAGCTATTCTGGCCATATTAAATGCCATGGTGACCTGAAGAAAACAGTGATAGAGCTAGAGCAGAGGCAGACCTGTGTGAACGTTGATCCTGGACACGAAGATGTACTGGCTATAAAACCACATAGAAGATGCACTAGCTATGAAACCACATAGAAGATGTACTGACTATGAAACCACATAGAAGATGCACTGACTATGAAACCACATAGAAAATGCACTAGCTATGAAACCACATAGAAGATGCACTAGCTATGAAACCACATAGAAGATGTACTGACTATGAAACCACATAGAAGATGCACTGACTATGAAACCACATAGAAAATGCACTAGCTATGAAACCACATAGAAGATGCACTGACTATGAAACCACATAGAAAATGCACTAGCTATGAAACCACATAGAAGATGCACTGACTATGAAACCACATAGAAAATGCACTAGCTATGAAACCACATAGAAAATGCACTAGTTATGAAACCACATAGAAAATGCACTAGCTATGAAACCACATAGAAAATGCACTAGCTATGAAACAACATAGAAAATGCACTAGCTATGAAACCACATAGAAAATGCACTGGCTATGAAACCACATAGAAAATGCACTAGCTATGAAACCACATAGAAAATGCACTAGCTATGAAACCACATAGAAAATGCACTAGCTATGAAACCACATAGAAAATGCACTGGCTATGAAACCACATAGAAGATGCACTAGCTATGAAACCACATAGAAGATGCACTAGCTATGAAACCACATAGAAAATGCACTAGCTATGAAACCACATAGAAAATGCACTGGCTATGAAACCACATAGAAGATGCTCTAGCTGTGTAACCACATAGAAGATGCACTAGCTATGAAACCACAAAGAAAATGCACTGGCTATGAAACCACATAGAAGATGCACTAGCTATGAAACCACATAGAAGATGCACTAGCTGTGTAACCACATAGAAAATGCACTGGCTATGAAACCACATAGAAAATGCACTGGCTATGAAACCACATAGAAAATGCACTAGCTATGAAACCACATAGAAAATGCACTAGCTATGAAACCACATAGAAAATGCACTAGCTATGAAACCACATAGAAAATGCACTGGCTATGAAACCACATAGAAGATGCACTAGCTATGAAACCACATAGAAGATGCACTAGCTATGAAACCACATAGAAAATGCACTAGCTATGAAACCACATAGAAAATGCACTGGCTATGAAACCACATAGAAGATACACTGGCTATGAAACCACACAGGACTAGAGAAAGAAGAAAGACTTTCATGGGGCCATGACAGGAGCTGATTGTTGATGAGTGTGATTTGAACCAAGATTTATAAGCAGACCATAAGGAGCCAAGTATTTCCTTTTACAGTCCATGGGGTTGGCCATCCTTCTGTCCAATGTACTGTCAATCATTTTTTATCTAGCTGTTCTTCCTGTCATGATGCCAGCTGACCAAACATCCTCTCTCATGATGTGCTAAAATGTTGAATTAAGAATCAACATCACAGCACTCTGGACCACCCCCAAGTAAGCGCCTCCGCCACCTTTTGGCCTTGACCATACCGTAAATCTAGAGAGCCTACCCCCGGGCCCGGAGAGATAGGATAGATGTCTACATTAAAAGTCTGAGTACATATGCCAGAGAGGCAAAGAACAACATACTGCACATAGATAAGTCAGTAAAATGGATATATACACACACACACAAAAACTCAGGTACTGACACAAAGCCAAATGGACAAACAACCAGGATTTTCTACCACATTTCACAACCAAGAAAACAATTTATTGTTATTCCTCATAGCCAGAGCCTCATGCTGGCACAGGAATGAGTGTCTGTACAATACTGACAGCGTCTTTCACCCACTGAGAGCCAATTAATATGGATACATAATTCGCCCCATGGCATGGCAAGGTCGTTAACTCTTTGTTCATTATGTACAAGAAATTTATACGTTACACAAACAAGTGACAATATTATGGTAGCACATAAAAATACATTTAAATAAAAATACTAATCTCAGTTCTGGACATACGAAATGATCCCAAGCGAAGTAGACCATAGATGAGAAAGATGTACGTACAAAATATTAAGAATGATCAAAAACCTTGGATGGTCAGAGTAACTAACAAAAATTACTTGAAAGAAGATAATGAAAGTAGATCTCTATATACAACAATAAGAAAGAGACAAACACTTTTCTTTGGCCACATAATGAGAAGAGAGACATTGAGATCATCGTGACAACTGGAAAGATCAGTGGAAAAAAAATTAGAGGCAGACCAAGAGAGGTGATGCATGAAACAATAGCCTGGAGGGATATCATCAAGAGAGCTGTTCCAGGCAACCAGGGATCGTGATCTGTGGAGATGCATGAGCATCTACACCAGTTGGCAGGGCACATGATGATGATGATGATCACAAACATATGTTTAGTGAGTCACTGAAACAAACTTCTAGCAACACAAGCATGCGGAGATTAGTGACATGATTTTAAAATCCATTCCTTGACACTACAACAACAAAAAAAGTAAAGAGCCCTTTTCACGCCTTTATAGGCGCATATGGGAAGAGCACCCATATTTTTACAGACCAAGCGGCACTAGGTGGGTAATGTGGTCAGCATTACGCCAGCCATCTTTACTTCCCAAGGACATACATCTTGGTACCAATTTTAGGCTGGGTCGACCTGTGACATTCCTTGACATACCAGTATAATTTCCATGGCAGGCTTTTTTTTTTTTTTTCAAAACCATTTTGCCCCAGGAAGCCGAAAACCAACACTTCAAGTTAGGTCCAATTCCCAGTAAATGTCGCTTTTCTGACTTGTCTATAGTGACTGTGGACAATCAAACTTCCACAGACGGATATACAATCAGATGGTTACTGGTACCATCAGAATTGGAACTCTTCATTCGCTGCTGAAGATGGGGACTGTGCACTTATGGGAGTGTCCTGAGTGCTGTGATGTCTTAATTCAACCCTTCCACAATCTGCAATCTCCAACAAAATTAATCAAGTCACGGTGACACCCCTAAATGCCCTGACAAAAGGCCGTCAAAAATATTCTCAAATGTTTTCCTGTGTCCTTTTCAGCAGCTTTTTTTTTTGTGTGTGGCTCCCCAATGAATTCTACAAATTCTTTAAAACACATTTCTGAGGCCTCAAGAAATAGTTTGGCGTGTTTATTAATTGTCTAGAATTCACAGCCACATGTGAATATCAGACTAGTGAGCATTAAAAGTCTATGTTCAAGCAACAGCAGGGAAATTAAAGTCAAAATTGGGAGAGCATGCATTCCATGTAGCAACATCCAGATGTGTGTTGTAGCAACATCCAGATGTGTGTTGTAGCAACATCCAGATGTGTGTTGAAAACTGCAGGCCACCATGACTTGTACTATCGCAGAAAAAAAGATCCTGCCAGTTAGGTCAAAGTTTTGCCAGTTAGGTCAAAGTTTTGTTCGTCATAAACAAATTTTAGCTTTACCTTTTTTTAATAAAACCATAATATAATGATAAGACATAAATACTGCTAATAATATAATTGTATATAATATGACCTATGACGATTCCATGAAGAAATGCGGTTAATTAATTCTTTGAGTCCCAGAGGGTTTGGCACAACAGGCTCAGGGAGTAGTCAAGACAGACATAAAATTGGCGCATTATGCGTTCATTGGGCTCTTGGCAGTAACCTATGAACGTATGATGCGATCCTTGGGACTCAAAGAGTTAAGCTCTTCTCACTGGCCGGAACTGATTGATGGGGTCAGGGATGAAGTATTTGTCCCAGAGGTCACTGTGTTGAGATGTACGACCCCACGGTTTGAACCTTCCGTTCCAGTGCAGCAGTTTGGCCTGTCTTACAAATGACTGGCTGTAACTTGTGCCAGGTGTCCACCCTGTTGAAGCCAAAACAAGAAAATAAATGACAAAGGTCAGTGTTCTTTAACAGGTGGGCCGCTGGGAAACTCCAAGCTGGCCAAAAACATGTCTGTCTAATCATGTAACTGGGGAGCATAGTTAGTTTTTCTCTGCCACTATTGCAGTCTGCAGGAATAACCCTTCAAGGATGTGAATCAAAGTGTTGAGTTGAGCTGAGTCAAGAATTAACATCACAGCACTCAGAGCATTTCCATGCATGCTCCATCCTCATCTTCAGCAGCCAGTGCAGAGTTCCAACACTGATAGTACCGGTCACAATCTGGTTATACATCCGTCTTGCCTTTCCTCTCGGTGTAGTGACCCGGCGAGACCCTCTGGGTACACCCAGATGCCTCATTCTCTCCAGGCCTTAATAATCTTGTTTCTCTACTGATTCTGTTACTTGTTCCCATAGGGCCTTGACCACATCTGGCCTGTCATGTATCAATTAACCACCCAGTGGTGCAAATCCAGCCAATCTGTCTGCCTGATGTGAATCATAGGATGTTGCATCCGCTAAAAACTGTAATTCTGTGACATCAGATGTAACAAATAAAGTGCTGACTACATTTGTTTTACAACCAGTTGTCACATTTATGCTATTCTTATGAGAAGGAAACTAGGACATGTTGTAACCACTAGAAAGAAATGTGGGAAAAAGAGATAGAGGAAGGCAACGCAAGACAGTTCTTGACAGCTTTTTGTCATGGAGGGGTCAACAAATAAACTGACACTGCTTGAAAATCGCACATTGTGGAGAGGCATGATCACCCAGTTAGCAAGGAACTTGATGATGATGATTATGGAGATGTTTTTATATTCTTACAAAAGTATGGAGAATGGCAGGGCATCCTCTCTGGTGAATTACAGATGGGCAGAGGAAGTCAAGGCTGACCTCTAGTATGATATGAATTACACACGTACTGAGCTAGATTCCTAGGAACAAAATGCCAAACAGGCATTTGGAGTAGAGGGAGGAAAGGCAGGATGGAAATAGGAAAAACGTTTTTTTTAAAAACTGATTGCAGAAAGGTTTACAGCTGTGAATAGCCACATTAAATATATGTGACAGCAACAACAGTCTTGAAATTGGCTCTATTTTTGTTTCCCCCACAATAGGGCCCCGGAACCCATACGGGGAATGTCATAAGAGTCAACTAATCAGGGGTATTTCCTTCAAAGTCGGAATGCATCTTTCTGACAGGTGAGGAACCAACAGTCTGCACACAAATAAGCCAGATCTGTTAAACATGCAAACAGTCAAGTTCTGGAAGAAGACCAAAGTCCAGAAGTGAGCAAACAACCAGAACTTTCAGCCGGAGTTTAAAGCTGGTGAAAGTGAAGAAGAAATGAAACAATGGGGCTAAGGTTGCATCAAACTGGCTGTCAGTAGCAACTGGAACGACTGATGGAAAGAGAGCAACAGAAAGACAAAGAGATAAATACCTGGATGGACTGGTCACAAAGATGTTGCAGGACAAGAGCACTGGCCTGATCTGTGATTCTTGTCATAGTGTGGGATGCTTTTTGACAGGGCACATGATGATGAGCCACATATAGCAACTGCAGCCAGCAAATCAAAGACACAAACAGCCAGTTTAACTGCAGAGCTTTCAGAGTTTGCCAGACTGCAAATCACTGCTTCTTTGTAAACATCCCTATAATATATTGGACACTAATTGCTACAACTACCTGGCATAAGATATGAATTAAACAAGTACTTGCCCAGGTATCTGACATGCCACATAGGATCAATGGGTGAATATTTGTTATAAAACACTATCATCATGGGTGGTTGAGATCCTCCGCCCCCTTTCTCGTTTCCATATACTTCCTCTCTGGGGAAAACAAAAACATAACCCTGTTTTTACTCAGTCGCAAATGGTTTCAAAGTAATACAAGTGAAATCAGATTTCATTAACATGCTCTGACCAAATGTGACTAGTTAAAAAAAAAAGCACATAGAAAAAATGCTATGGTTGTGATTCAAAGCAAAGAATACTTCACACATCATGCCAAAAACCTGGCCATGACACATCTCAATGAATTCTTCTTTGTCTACTTCTGTATGTCTGCAAATTTAACACAAGCTTTCAACCAATGTATGTCAGGTCCTTCAGCTCCTTCCCTAATTCTATTATCCGTGTGTTTTAGCTATGCCAATGTTTTGGCCTGTCGGTTTCAGACAAAGGACTTTATATTCTCTCACATGTTTTCTCACTCTGTGCTCTCCTAGATGGCCAGGTTTTACTGGGGTAATTAGCCCCCTCTAAGATAAAACAGACTGAAAGGGTGGCTATCCTCCGACAAACGGTCGGCAAAGATGGCGGCGGCAAAATATCCAGCCGAGCCGCCGTCACGGGTCATTGCGCGCTTCCGGCTACTTAATTTGCTGTCTTCCAGCAGTTTTCCGCCAAAAACATGGATTGGGGCTAAACTAGATGGCTAGGACTCACGAGCAGCAGCTCCGCATCTCCTGCAGCTTTGCTCGTGAGTCCTAGCAATCTAGTTTAGCCCCAATCCACGCCACATGAGCGGCGTGGGGGCCACGTGGCGGTAGCCATTGTCACCGGAAAAGCGCACATGAAGTAGCCGAAAGTGCGCAATTGACCCGTGACCCCAAGTGCGCAATGACCCGTGACCGCGGCTCGGCTGGATATTTTGCCGCCGCCATCTTTGCCGACCGTTTGTCGGAGGATAGAGGGCTAACAACACAGATTTATACAACAAAGCAGATTGTAAGATTCAATTACACAGACAAAACAGACTGTAAGGTCTAACTACACAAACAAAACAGAATAAGATCTAATTATAAGCACAAAACAGAATAAGATCTAACTATACACAGACAAAACAGAATAGGAACTAACTACACAGACAAAGCAGAATAAGAACTGAGTTGTGTCAGGAATTGACATTACAGCACTTGGGGCATTCCCATGCATGCTCTGTCCTCATCTTCAGCAGCCAGTGCAGAGTTCCAATACTAATGAATAAGATCTAAGTATACACACACAAAACAGGGTATAAAATGACTACACTGACAAAACAGAATAGGAACTAAATAAAGCAAAAGAGAACATGAATTAACTATACTGACCAACCAGAACATGAACTAACTATAGTGACCAACCAGAATATGAACTAACTATAGTGACCAACCAGAACATGAACTAACTATAGTGACCAACCAGAATATGAACTAACTATAGTGACCAACCAGAATATGAACTAACTATAGTGACCAACCAGAACATGAACTAACTATAGTGACCAACCAGAACATGAACTAACCACACAGACAAAACCAGATTAAGAGCTGACAACATAGACAAAACAGACTAACTACACAGATAAAACAGACTCAGAGCTAACTACATACAAAACAGACTAAGAACTAACTATACAGAAAAAAAACAACTCAAAACTAACTACACAGACAAAACAGACTCAGAGCTATACTATACAGACAAAACAGACTCAGAGCTATACTATACAGACAAAACAGACTCAGAGCTATACTATACAGACTTCCTCCGAAGTCGGAGTACATCTGCCGGAGAGGCGGGGAACGAGAACTGCAAACAAATAAGCCAGTAAAACGGATGTACACGCAAAACTCAGGTCAAGGTAAAAGCCAAAAGTCCATTTTGGACGAACAACCGCGACTTACCGCCGGAATTCACAGCCGGTGAACAAGAAGAAGAAGAAGAATACTATACAGACAAAAACAAAGAACTAACTTTGTGTTGAGTTCCATCCAGTAGTCCAACTGACTAGTAATATTGAGCTGTTGCCATATGGCTAGGTCTGTGACAAACACTCCAGTGTTGAAGGAGCAAGCGTCTGGTTTTATGTTCAGCTTTTTAATGTGCTCATTTTTGAAGTCCAAATATTCTGCGTAGACATTCTGAAATAGCAGACCACAGCAAATATAAGACACAGACAACGGAGGTCAGGGTTTAATGGACTGGGTCACACCATTACACATCACAAGCTGGAAACTACAGCAGTGGTCCGAAATTAGCTTCCCAGTGTGGGATCTGGGGTCCCACTTGGGTGGGGGGTAGGGTAGGAATGAAGAATAGACCCGCTGCTCCCTTACAAGCATACTGTAAGAGTTGACTTCTCAAAGTCTGTGCAGTGTAGTGTTGGTAGTCATGTCTATCCATAACCTTTTGTCTTGTGTACTTGTAATCAATTTTGACACAAATGATCCGCCACGCCGTGATGTCAGACTGTCCAGCATCTGTTCTCTTGGTCTCCCTCTGCATCGCCTCCCCGCCAACTTTACTACTGTCTAGATTTTACCCCCGTTTTCTCCTTCTCAACACATGATCAAATAATGTAGATTGTCTCTTTTTTGATGTGGGCAATCACTTCTCTTTATGAGTCAGTTTCTTTCAAGACGTCTTCATTACTCTTTTTATCTTCCAGGGTATTCTCGCCATTTGTCTACAAAACCACATTTCTGCAACTTCCAAATAAGTTTTCACTAATTTACCAACTGTCAATAATTCACTTCTGTACATAAAGATAGGATTTATATAGCTTTTAAGAATTCTCTTTCTCATCTCAATTGACAAAGAAAGGTTGTATAAAATTTTCTCCATTTTGTTAAATGTTGCCATTGCTTGAGCTATTCAACATTTAAATTCCTTAATACATCTTTCATCTGATGTTATCAGGGCACCCAAGTACTTAAACATATCAACTTAGGTTTGTTCCATTTACTTTGATGTTACATTTTGGAGGGTCAGTTTTATTTATAATTATCATTACTTCTGTTTTTCCGCTGTTCAAACTAAGATCCCTGTTTTAACTTTCCGTTAAAATTATATCCATCCTTTCTTGCAGTTGTGTTTCATTTTTAGTGATCACAACTATATTGTTAGCATATTGCAGCTTGTTAACAATATGCCCACCAACTGATATTCCTGGCATATGATGTATGGGTCTAATTATTATTTCTCTGCACAAATTGAATAAATTGGGTGATAGTACAAATCCCTGTCTAACACTTTGTTTAATGTTTTGAAAAGTTCCAACCTGGTTGCTAATCCTTATGGCTGCTTCTTGTTGCCAGTATATGTTTTTTTAAAACTATTCTCAGATCTTTACCATCAATGTTTAAGGTTTCCAAAATTCTAATAATTTTTTCATGTAGACTAATTAGGGATGTTTCCTTCGAAGTAGGATAGCAGATGACTGACAGTTGAGGAGCTAACAGTCATCAGATAGATAAGCAAAATCTGTAAAACGAATGTGCACACAAAACTCAGGTTCTGAAACAAGACTAAAGTCCAGAAGTGGATGAACAACCAGCACTTTCCTATGGAATTTTACAACAGGTGATCAAGAAGACTCATAAGACACAGACAAGAGAGTCCAGGGGTTGAGGACCGGTCGAAACATTACACATCACAATCAGGACCGGTCGCAACATTACGCATCACAATCAGGACCGGTCGCAACATTACGCATCACAATCAATCAATCAATCAAGTCCTCTCTCCACAATGAAGAATGGCTGCAATTAATCTCCAACAGGCTCCGTCTCTTGTCTTGGTTGTACACTCTCTCAGGCAGCTTTCTGTCCATCTCTTGGTGTTGTCCTCCCACCTGTATCACCCTCTACCTTTTGCCCTCGACCTTTCCCTCAAGTATGGTTTTTAAAAGTGTCTTTTAATGCAGCCAAAATATTTCAACTGACTCTACATATCACAAATAGGAGGTGCGCCTCCTTGATAGACGTCTTAGGCATTTCCGGGCAAGGAAACTAAAGCAGTGGTTCAAAATTTAGTTTAGACCTGCACCTCATATTTTTCAAATGTATTCCACAAACCCCATATTTTTTAACAGCCATACTAAAAAACTTATTACATGAGGGGTTTCAAATTAAAACCTTAAGTGTGACAGTATTACAATAATATACCGCTAACTTGTAGTTTGTCAATATTGTTGTTAAGGATGTCAAGAGTGTTCAGCATGCAAAAAATATGGTGCAGATGAACATGGTGAAGCCATATTTACAGTTTAAAGATGGTCACCCCATTTTTTCATGCACAAAAGAGAAGCAGCAGTTTTTTTAAATATCCATTTTTTTTATTGTTGAGGGGAACCAACTACATTTATCAGCAAATGACGGTCCAGTTTGGTGATGCATGCCTGTCAATTTAACAAGCATATGAGTGGAGTAGGAAGTTTCAAAACAGCATGGCTTCTGTGATAGACTGTTTATGACCGGGTCAATCACACACAGCAGTGATTCCAGGGTCGACTGTAGTGATTTTGATTCTTCCTACTCAATCGTACACTCATTTTCTCTTGTGTTTCTACTGGACATCCATCTTTTTCTCATTTCAACGTCCCAGTATGTGATGCAATTTTGCGTTATTTTAAAGCCACACTCCGGCAGTTCTCGGGGGCCCTAATGTAACCCAACCTATGGGTGTTTCTGGGACTTTTGGTGTTTTTGGGACTTGTACCCGGGTGCTCCTTATCCAAATGGTGGCACTTTGTGTCACCGGGTGTTGGTTGCTCGTTGTATGGTCCTGGTAGAGTTGAACAACAAACACAATAAAAGTACCCATTTGGTGATAATTTCAGACATTACTTACAGTTAACCTGCTCAGTCTCTTGCTCAGCCCGGAGCAGTCCTCAGAGAAAGCTGCGATGTGACCTGGTTTTATTGTCATGTTGTTCAGCTCGGCAATATCCCCTGAGGCACACACATATAAGTAGAGATGTATAGTATAATCCACTCAATATAGAAGTGTTTAGGAACAAATGCTTTCAGCAGGAAATATCTCATTAACATGTGTATTTGTGTGCTTCTTTTTCTTCACCTCTAGAAGCCTCAATATTTCATGAGTTCAGGTCCTGATGTAGTTGTACTTTTGAAAAATAACTTTTCTTTTTGCAGTTTGGCCCAGCCTCAAATGGGTACCAGGTAAAGCCCTGGGAAGTAAAGGTGGCCAGCGTGATACTGACCACATCACCCACTGAGTGCTGATTGGTCTATAAAATGTAGGTCTAGCCCTATATGTCTGATGATGTGGAAAAGGGTCCTTTACTTTTCTTCATCTTTGTGATCACTGGCTGTAACCTCCAGCAGAAAGTCCTGGTTGTTTGTCCACTTCTGAACTTTGGTCTTGTTCCAGGACTTGAGTCTTGCTAAGACATTCATTGTAAAAATCTTTTTTTTTAAAGAATCCAGGAACCATGAGTGCAACCCTTCTGCCTTGATTCCATGATAGGTACCGTAATTCTGGGAGAAATGTGGCTTTTTTGCCTACCCCGGGCGTGAACCTGGACAACAAGGAGTTTGTCGCTACACAGTCAGGTTTAACCAACTACGCTAGCGAGCCGGGCATCAGTTTTATTTGTGCACAGACTGTTGGCTTCTCACTCAGAAGTGATCTGACTTTAAAGTAAAACTTAAATCCCATCTACACTGGCCAGGCTACCGGTTGGGAGTCTGTTTCTAGGATGACCGTGGAGAAGTGTAGGCAGATCTTGACCAGTATGATCCATGATCCTGGGGCACTGTCACATGTCTACGTCTTAGAACCGGGCACAATAGACTTTGCAGTCATATGTACAAAAAATTTAGGATCGGTGAATCAGCCGTGTGCACATGTGGACTGGCACCTGAAACAACAGATCACATCCTTCAAGACTGTCCCAAATACAACATTCCAGGAAAAACTTCTGGCCAAGAGAGACACTGGTGGAAGCCAAACTTTACGGGCCACTAAGTTAATTACACAAGACAATGAAGTTCATACTGGAGACAACATTGCAGATATAGATACTTCATTTCAAGTGAACATAAGAAACAAGAAGAAACTGCCACATCTGATGCACTGTCACATCTGGTGCACTGTCACATCTGGTGCACTGTAACATCTGGTGCACTGTCACATCTGGTGCACTGTCACATCTGGTGCACTGTCACATCTGGTGCACTGTCACATCTGGTGCACTGTCACATCTGGTGCACTGTCACATCTGGTGCACTGTCACATCTGGTGCACTGTCACATCTGGTGCACTGTCACATCTAGTGCACTGTCACATCTAGTGCACTATCACATCTGGTGCACTGTAACATCTGGTGCACTGTCACATCTGGTGCACTGTCACGTCTGATGCACTGTCACATCTGGTGCACTGTCACATCTGGTGCACTGTCACATCTGGTGCACTGTCACATCTGGTGCACTGTCACATCTGGTGCACTGTCACATCTGGTGCACTGTCACATCTGATGCACTGTCACATCTGATGCACTGTCACATCTGGTGCACTGTCACATCTGGTGCACTGTCACATCTGGTGCACTGTCACATCTGGTGCACTGTCACATCTGGTGCACTGTCACATCTGGTGCACTGTCACATCTGGTTCAGCATCTATACATCAAATGTGGGCCACGTTAGCTTAGTCGATAGAAAACTCGCTTTCACATCCAGCTGCGACTCGCTGCAGCCCATGGCCGGTGTTCGAAACTGGGTGGTTACCGGGGTTCAGACAGCCTCTAAGAAATATGTACCAGAGATAACACTCTGGGGTAAATGGAGGAACGTCGCTGTAGCTACGGAGTTGGGTGCGGAGGGCGATACAGGCAGACAGTTTCTTATCAGCAGTCTGTGCTGGTGGGAGAGCACTAATGGTTTATAACCATTATGCAATGATGCTGGTTCACATCTCCTGACTTTACCTCTACCTTTATCTCTACATCAAGTGTATGTATGACACTGAAGATGAATAAAGAAAGAGTTTTTCTGGCTCCCGCTATGGACAGCTGAAATGCTATAGAAAGATTCTCCAAATACAATGGACCAAGAAAAGAAGAAATAATGACATTCTAAAAGATCTGAACATCAAGGAAGACTGGCTAATAAACATCATCTTGTCCCAGAAACTGAAATAATTTGACCATATCAAACACCACAAAATAACCCCAAAAATAGCAGACAACATGGTACCAGGAAAGAAGGGCATGGGCCAACCAGCATGAAGATGGGCACAGGAAATAAGTGTATGAGGCAGGAGAGCCGGCAAGAGACTTAGTTTCTCTCAGGCAGACAGTGATGAGAGCAACGTTCAGGAAAATACCTGCTACATGATAACTATGGACATTTACAATCACTACCTAATAACTATAGACATTTATAATCATTACCTAATAACTATAGACATTTACAATCATTACCTAATAACTACAGAGACTTACAATCATTACCTAATAACTATAGACATTTACAATCATTACCTAATAACTACAGAGACTTACAATCATTACCTTATAACTACAGACATTTACAATCATTACCTAATAACTATAGACATTAACAATCACTACCTAATAACTATAGACATTTACAATCACTACCTAATAACTATAGACATTTACAATCACTACCTAATAACTATAGACATTTACAATCATTACCTAATAACTATAGACATTTACAATCATTACCTAATAACTATAGACATTTACAATCATTACCTAATAACTACAGAGACTTACAATCATTACCTAATAACTATAGACATTTACAATCATTACCTAATAACTACAGAGACTTACAATCATTACCTTATAACTACAGACATTTACAATCATTACCTAATAACTATAGACATTAACAATCACTACCTAATAACTATAGACATTTACAATCACTACCTAATAACTATAGACATTTACAATCACTACCTAATAACTATAGACATTTACAATCATTACCTAATAACTATAGACATCTACAATCATTACCTAATAACTATAGATATTTACAATCATTACCTAATAACTATAGACATTTACAATCACCACCTAATAACTATAGACATTTACAATCATTACCTAATAACTATAGACATTTACAATCATTACCTAATAACTATAGACATTTACAATCATTACCTAATAACTATAGACATTTACAATCATTACCTAATAACTATAGACATCTACAATCATTACCTAATAACTTTAGACATCTACAATCATTACATAATAACTATAGACATCTACAATCATTACATAATAACTATAGACATCTACAATCATTACCAAATAACTATAGACATCTACAATCATTACCTAATAACTATAGACATCTACAATCATTACCTAATAACTATAGACATTTATAATCATTACCTAATAACTATAGACATCTACAATCTTTACCTAACACTATGCAGTCATCATCGATAAACACAACCCGTTCCTTGAGCTTAGGGAACAGTCTTGGCAGATAATAGCGAGCGTAGTTCAGCTGAAACATCAAACAAAAATGACATCATGAAAAGAAAAAAAACATACTCTAAACATGAAACTCCCAGGTCGACCTAGCCTTGAGTGGGTACTGGGTGCAGTCCCAGGAAATTAAGGCGGCCGGCGTGATGATAACCACATCACCCATCTTGTGCCGATTGGTCTATAAAAATATAGGTCTAACCCTATATGCCTAAAGGCGTGGAAAAGGGTCCTTGACACTATTTTTTTTTACGTGAAACAAAGGGTGTCATTGTGGTGCAGCGGCCAGGCACTCACCTGCAAAACTCATGGGTTCAATCCGAACAGAGCCAGATTTGTTCAAACATTTCTTTGGCGTCAAGGTCAACCCGGCCGTAAAAGCCAGTGTGTGTGTGATGTTGACCACATCAAACTCCAAGTGCTGACTGGTCTATTAAACATAGGCCTAGCCCTATATGCCCAATATGCCGGAAGACATGAAACAAAAGCACACTGTGAGAAAAAATATAATCTACGCATAAAACAAAAAATGACACCAACGAGAATAAACATATCTTACACAAAAAAACAAAAAGACACTGTGAGAATGAAAATAGACACCGGAAAAGAATGAAAACAAACAGAGGGAAAGAATGATAACAACCTTACAGGGGAAGGAATGATAAGAAACAAACAGAGGGAAAGATTGATAAGAAACATACAGAGGGAAAGAATTATAAGAAACATACAGAGAGAAAGAATGATAAGAAGCATACAGAAGGAAAGAATGATAAGAAACATACAGGGGAAAAGAATAATAAGAAACATACAGGGAAAGAATTATAAGAAACATAGAGGCAAAGAATGATAACAAGCAAGCAAGATAAAGCTACGTAATGTTCATATTCAAAAACAAAAACAAACTTACTGGCGTTCCCAGCTCATCCCTTCCTCCACGGACTTTTATTTTGCCAGAGACCCAGCTCAGCGGGAAGGCCTTAATTTCAAAATCAGCATTTTTGAGTTTAGATGTCCTCAACCAGATGCTGAACAAGCGGATATATGTCAACATAAATTTCAATAAGAAATCATTACTTAATATTTATTTCTACATGATGTCCTGTAGCAGGGAGTACCAAATACAACACAAACTGTGATAGGAAACTCAGCAGAGGGAGTGGGAAAGACAAACACAAATAAATTTAGCTGCACATCTTTTCCATTCACTGTGCTAAGCTTTCTAGTCGCAGTTTGTGTTGTATTTGGTACTTCCTGCTTAATGCCAGCTCAACTTCAGCCACTCCATCTTTGCCCTATGGCAAACTTGTTTCAGTTACAAAAGAGCTTTCATGGGCTCTAATCTTTCCTTTTAAAGGAGCCAACCTGACAGCAGGGAATGGAGAGTGAGAAGAAACAATGAAATTCATAACCTGTTTAAATCACCATTGAACACTGGCCTAATGAGAGCTAATAGACTGAAATGGCTGGGGCACATAGAGAGAATGTTAGATGACAGAGAAGTAAAAACTGTATACACAAGGGAGCTAAATGGTTGTAGACCACGAGGCAGACCAAGAAGACAATGGAGAGATAATGTCCACACAGACCTGCAAACACTTGGTGTCACCAACTGGAGAGAGAAGACCAACCAGATAGATACATGGAAGTGGTGATATCTGCAGCAATGAACCTCAAGGGCTCAGAATGCTGATGAAGAAAAACCTGACATAGTCATTAGCACATTTATTTACCAAACTATTATCCAAGTTCAATCTGTATCAGTCTTCTTCTTCTTCTGCTTCTTCTTCATCAGCTGTAAACTCTGGCGGAAAGTACTGATTGTTTATCTACTTCTCCAGTTGAGTCTTATTCCAGAACTTGAGTTTTGTGTGCACATCCGTTTTACAGATCTGTCTTATTTGTTTGCAGATGAGGTGAAAACACACAGACAATATACCCTAGGTGAACACACACAGACAAGATACCTGAGGTGAACACACACAGACAAGATACCTGAGGTGAACACACACAGACAACATATCTGAGGTGAACACACACAGACAAGATACCTGAGGTGAACACACACAGACAAGATATCTGAGGTGAACACACACAGACAACATATCTGAGGTGAACACACACAGACAAGATACCTGAGGTGAACACACACAGACAAGATACCTGAGGTGAACACACACAGACAACATATCTGAGGTGAACACACACAGACAAGATACCTGAGGTGAACACACACAGACAACATACCTGAGGTGAACACACACAGACAACATATCCAAGGTGAACACAGACAACATACCTCAAGTGAACACATATGTACAAGATACCCAAGGTGAACACCAACAGACAACATACCCGAGGTGATCCGTGCTGTCACTGTCTACAACAAGGTGGAATTTCACTGGGGACTTTGTGTTTGACACAATGCTGTTCATCAGAGTGACCATACCCCCTGGTAGGTGATAGAATGTCAAGATTACTGTTACTGGGTAAATGACATGGATATGATTGAGTTTTGACTGAGTGTCTGATAGAAGGGTAATGAATGTTACAATGATGACAGAGTGGTGATAGAAAGATGATTAGTTTATTGAGGCCTGATTGTGTGTATGATAAGAAAATATAGTGATTAGTAAAAAGATGGCAGAGTGATTAAAAGAAGAATGAGTGAGTGATTAATTAAAGAGTGACTGAGTGATTAATAGAAGGATGACTGAGTGATTAACAGACCGATGACTAAGCGATTAATAGAAGGATAGCAGATGATTAATAGAATGATTATTGAGTAATTATTGGAAGAATTACTGATTAACAGAAGGGTGACTAAGTGATTAACTGAGAGATGGCAGATGATTAACAGAAGGATGACTAAGTGATTATCTGCAAGATAGCAGATGATTAACAGAAGGATGACTATAAGTGATTAATAGAAGAATGACTGAGTGAATAATTGAAGGATGACTGAATAATTAACAGAAGGATAACTGAGTGATTAATAGAAGAATGACTGAGTGAATAATTGAAGGATGACTGAATAATTAACAGAAGGATAACTGAGTGATTAATAGAATGATAGAATGATGATAGAATGATCACTGGGAGGATGATACAGTGACTGATGAAAGATGATATTTGATTGACTGATTTACTGAAAGGTTGTTGATTGGGGATGTATATTTGATTGACTGACTGAAAGTTGACTGACTGAAAGTTGACTGACTGACTGATAGAAGGGTAAGTTATTAATTGATTACTGACAGTTAACTGCTAGAAGGATGATAGAGTGATTGATAAAAGAATTATACAGTGATTGATGAAAGATGATTGAGCAACTGATAGAATCGGAATGGTGACTGACTGAAGAAAAATAGAGAGATTGATAAAAGGAATATACAGTGATAGATAGAAGAAAGATAGAATGACTGATCATAGGATTACCTTATCTCTGATGGAGGGATGATTAAGTGTTTGATAATGATGGAGTCAAGATAGGAACACAATTTTAGCCGGAAACAAAAGGTAATCACACATTGAAGAAACTAAAAATGTCATAAACTAGTTTAAACTGACATAAGGAAAAACAGAAAACACATAAAAACAAATAGGTAGAGTGGCCAGACTATCGCTTTCTTTCTCGAAAGCCTAGTTGGCTGCAGTGAGTCACAGCTAGATTTGAAAGCTAGCCTCCTATCGACTGCGCTAACGCGGCCCCCTGGTATTATATGGTAATCAGTGTTTACATGTTAACGAAAGTGCGGGCACACTAACACAAAAAACAGCGGTACGTCTGTCACATCTATAAAAAAAGGTGACTGACAAACACACAAACAAACTGTAATACCCAGTGTATTTTTGTCGGAGGTTATGCACACATGAACAACTTTGCCAGAACTAGGCACATTTCCCTTATCTCCCAACGGAGCCCTATCTTCAAGCAGCCCTGTCACTCTGAGTGGGGAGTTAACCCTTGACTCAAGTGAGTTTTCTGAAATTTAAAAACAAAAACAGAATCAATCAAAATTATTTCGTTAATTTATGTGGAGAAGTAGCTAGGTCATTTGACTTGTGCTCTGAAGGTCAACGATTCAAGTTTGGACTCCCATCATTTGGTTTGTCAGAGCAGGTTGTCATAACCTTATATTTGGAACCGAACATCCTTGGATGTCCTCATTTTATAATACAGCACCAAACATCTTTGGATGTCCTCATTTATAATAGGGCACTAAACAAACATCCTTGGATGTCCTCATTTTATAATGGGGCACCAAACATTCTTGGATGTCCTTATTTTATAATGCAGCAACAAACATCCTTGGATGTCATTTTATAATGGGGCACCAAACATCTTTTAATGTCCTCATTTTATAATGGAACACCAAACATCTTTGGATGTCCTCATTTTAAAATGCAGCACCAAATAAAAAATATTTGGATGTCCTCATTTTATCATGGAACACCAAACATCTTTGGATGTCCTCATTTTATAATGCAGCACCAAACATCTTTGGATGTCCTCATCTTATAATGGAGCACCAAACAAACATCCCTGGATGCCATCATCTTGTAATGGAGAATCAAACATCCTTGGATGTCCTCATCTTATAATGGAGCATCAAACAAACATCCTTGGATGCCATAATCTTGTAATGGATAATCAAACATCCTTGGATGCCATAATCTTGTAATGGATAACCAAACATCCTTGGATGCCATAATCTTGTAGTGGATAACCAAACATCCTTAGATGCCATAATCTTGTAATGGATAACCAAACATCCTTGGATGCCATAATCTTGTAATGGATAACCAAACATCCTTGGATGTCACAATCTTATAATGGAGAACCACACATCCTTGGATGTCTTAATCTTATAAAGGATAACCAAACATGCTTGGATGTCATAATCCTTTAATGGAGCCCACACATCTTTGGATGTCATAATTTTATAATGGTGAACCAAACATCTTTGGATGTCCTCATCTTATAATGGAGCACCAAACATAATTGGATGTCATAATCTTTTAATGGGGCATCAAACATAGTTGGATGTCATAATCTTATAATGGATTACCAAACATCCATGGACATCCTCATCTTATAACAGAGCACCAAACAAACATCCTTGGATGTCCTCATCTTATAATGGAGCACCAATGATCAGTGGATTTCATAACCTTATATTTGAACCTTAAACATCCTTGGAAGTCTTTATCGTACAATGGAGCATCAAACATCCTTGGATGTCCTCATCTTATAATGGAGTGCCAAACATCCTTGATGTCCTCATCTTGTAATGGAGTGCCAAACATCCTCAGATGTCCTCATCGTATAATGGAGTGCCAAACATCCTTGATGTCCTCATCTTGTAATGGAGTGCCAAACATCCTCAGATGTCCTCATCGTATAATGGAGTGCCAAACATCCTTGGATGTCCTCATCGTATAATGGAGTGCCAAACATCCTTGGATGTCCTCATCTTATAATGGATTGCCAAACATTCTTGGATGTCCTCATCTTCTTCTTCTCAGTGTATCAGCTGTTAACTCAAGCGGAAAGTCCTGGTTGTTCATCCTTGTCTGGAATTGAGTCTTGGTCCATAACTTGAGTTCTTTGTGCACATTTGTTTTAGATCTAGCTTATCTATATGCAGACTGTTGGGCCCTTACCTCTTAGGCAGATGCACTTCAAATTCTAAGAAAGTACCCCTGATTAGTCAACATTTACAATATGCTGGTTAGGAAGGGCAGTGAGTCTATTTTCCTGCTGCCTTCACAATGGGGCCTCAGGACCCACATGGGGACAATGTCCTCATTTTATAATAAGATGCCTTTTCACACCTTTAGGCGCATCGGGCACTCCTATTTTTACAGACCAGTCAGCACTAGGTGGTTAATGTGGGCAGCATTACCCCGGCCATCTTTACTTCCCAAGGACATACATCCTGGTAACCATTTTAGGCTAGGTCGACCAGTGGCACTCTGTACCATGATAAAAATCCACGCAGCCAGCAGTGGGTTTCGATCGCGGTACGTTGGAATTACGAGTCAGACTTGCAACCCCTAAGCCATGGACGTCACCTTGTTTTTAAAGGGAGCACCAAAAGTCCTCTGAACACAGCCTCATTCTAATGTAGCAACAAAAATCCTACGGGCACCGCCTCATTCTAATGTAGCACCAAAAATCCTACGGGCACCGCCTCATTATAATAATCATCATCATGTAGCAGGTCCTTTGCAGAACATCGCTCTCATAAAGTCTGCCTGAAAGAAACTTGGTCTCTCGCCAGTTCTCCCGCCTCATGCACTTTCACACTCAAGGAGTCACTTATATCCCATGCCCATCTTCGTGTCAGTTGGCCCCTGCCCCTCCTTCCTGGTACCATGCCTTCTGCCATATTTTTTTCAAATCCGTCGTGGCGCTTGATATGACCAAAATATTTCAGCTTTCGAGAAAGGATGCTGTTTATTAGTCATTATAATGGAGCACCAAAAATCCTACGGACACACTCCCATTATAATAGAGCACCAAAAATCCTACGGACACCGCCCCATTATAATGGAGCACCAAAAATCCTACGGACACCGCCCCATTATAATAGAGCACCAAAAATCCTACGGACACACTCCCATTATAATAGAGCACCAAAAATCCTACGGACACACTCCCATTATAATGGAGCACCAAAAATCCTACGGACACCGCCTCATTATAATAGAGCACCAAAAATCCTACGGACACACTCCCATTATAATGGAGCACCAAAAATCCTACGGACACCGCCTCATTATAATGGAGCACCAAAAATCCTACGGACACCGCCCCATTATAATGGAGCACCAAAAATCCTACGGACACACTCCCATTATAATAGAGCACCAAAAATCCTACGGACACACTCCCATTATAATAGAGCACCAAAAATCCTACGGACACACTCCCATTATAATGGAGCACCAAAAATCCTACGGACACACTCCCATTATAATGGAGCACCAAAAATCCTACGGACACCGCCTCATTATAATAGAGCATCAAATATCCTAACATGCCATCATTTCTTTGCCTATCACTTCCCAATGGAGCACAGGCCTTTAACCAATTCACATGAAGGCTTTATTTATATACTTGCTGATGATTGGCTGCACTTGCAAATTTAGTTCCCTTTGGGAAAACCTTCCTTAGTCTTCTCTTAGGACATGCATGATAGGTTACAGTGGGCTTATACAGGCATTCACAATAGCATTACAATTATTTTTTCTGTATATTTTAGTCGGTTTACCTAGCAATGAGAGGATAGTGGTATTGTTAGACACGACTGACAGACAGCACAAAGTCATAACACTCATTTATTCTTACTGTCAGAGTGAGACTTGGTTCTTAAATTGAGAAAATCTGGTATGTGGTTGGGTAGCCAGAAATAGCAGATAGCTCCAAGCCAAAACACTGCCAGCAGTAAACCCACTGGAAAAACAAATAAGTCAAATGTTACTCAAATATGACTGGAAATCAAATCAAAACTTTCTTCCTTTTTTATGAGAGACCATTATTTGTGGCTAGTTACTTTTATTTCATTTTATTATGGTTACTTTTAGTGTTGGCACATCTGACAACTGCCTTATGCATTTTTAGTCTGCATGTGCAAGCATATTGGAAGAATGTAAGATGACAGAGAAGTAAAAACTGTATACACGAGGGAGATGAATGGTCATAGACCACGAGGCAGACCAAGAAGACGACGGAGAGATAATATCCAGACAGACCTGCAAACACTTGGTGTCACCAACTGGAAAGAAAAGGTCAACCAGAGAGATGAATGGATGCGGGTGATATAAGCAGCAAATGAACCTCAAGGGCTCAGAATGCAGAAGAAGGTCAGCCACAGAGATGAATGGAGGCGGGTGAAATCTGCAGCAGTAAACCTTAAGAGCTCAGAATGCAGAAGAAGGTCAGCCACAGAGATGAATGGAGGCGGGTGAAATCTGCAGCAGTAAACTTTAAGGGCTCAGAATGCAGAAGAAGGTCAGCCACAGAGATGAATGGAGGCGGGTGATATCTGCAGCAGTAAACCTTAAGGGCTCAGAATGATAAAGAAGGTCAGCCACAGAGATGAATGGAGGCGGGTGATATCTGCAGCAGTAAACCTTAAGGGCTCAGAATGATAAAGAAGGTCAGCCACAGAGATGAATGGAGGCGGGTGATATCTGCAGCAGTAAACCTCAAGGGCTCAGAATGCAGAAGAAGGTCAGCCACAGAGATGAATGGAGGCGGGTGATATCTGCAGCAGTAAACCTTAAGGGCTCAGAATGATAAAGAAGAAGAAGATGTGCAAGCCTCAAGATTTTGCTGGGACTGACCAATTTTTTTACTAGTTTTTACTTGGGATCATGAGAAATATTTTGTGTGATTTCCACTGGCACAGGAACACAGCAGTTATGTAGTGACCCATCTGCAGTGAAATTGCAACCTTGATCAACAACTTATTATGGTTATGAATGTAGAAAAAATATCAGGTCTGGGGTTTGATGCATAAGGATTGGGTTCCGCCTTGGCCAAGACCTCTTTTTATTGCCATCTTGGATGCTCCCTGGCCAAACACCTCTTTTTATTGCCATCTTGGATGCTCCCTGGCCAAACACCTCTTTTTATTGCCATCTTGGATGCTCCCTGGCCAAACGCAAACCACTAGATAACAATACTCCTTGTCTTAAACAAATGTACCAATATTCTTCGTCTCCTTTATCTTTTTGGTGTTCAGTTTCAAATGCTCAGGTCAGACCGGCAGGTGGGTTGTCTCTATAGACTCACACCTCAGCAGCAGGTCTTCCATGGTTCCCTGCAAGCTTGCTCTGCATCATTTGCTCTTGAGGCTAAGTTTCTCATCATAACTGTAAGTATAGTGGGCAGGCCTGCAGAATATGCTCAGGTGTTCATGGTCCCTTCCGTCATGCACACTGTGGGGATATTGCAGTATTTACTTTATGCCTGTGCAGCTGAGCCTGCAGTATCCTGTTCCTAGATGAACAATTGTACACTGACACCATATGAAATGTTTTTTTTTTTAAAGAGAAGTATGTACTCCAAAAGCATGTTTTCATTTTCACTGAAAATTGAGGAGGTCAGTTTATCTTTTGTGTTCTAACTTAAGAGTATGTTAAGCATGTTTTCACAACTTGCTTGTTCACTTTTTCGGTCCTAAGGAACCCCTGATGTGTAAGTGTCTCTGTCCCTTTGTTTATCTCCGAAGCATAATGTGCTCTTTTACTTTTAACATGGAGTAAAGGTAAAGATGAAAGGACTGACTTCCCCAGGGATCTCGTAAAAATTGCACTTGTGGTCTCAACGACGTCGCCATGAAATGAACCCATGACCTTCAAGAGTTTTTTTTAATCACTGTTGGTGTCCACATGGAAAGGAACAGATGGGAGAGGAAGTGAATGAAACTACTTCTTTCTGTTATAGTGCAGTTCAGGTCGATATAAACCACTCTTGTGAGCATCAAATTTATCTCCATAGTGGCACTCTACCCACTCAGGTGGCTGCTCCTTGATATGAAAAATTACTAATTTTATGTGCGAGTTAGAAGGTTAGTAAGTCTTTTGTCTTGAGCCTAGGGTGGCGCTAGGGCAGAGGTCTTAGCTCTCCATATTTGGTGGTTCGCTGGCACCTGTTTGAGGTCTTATATGTTCATTAGGCCCATGACCAAGCCTTCCCTGATGATGGTTCTACAGATTCATAGAAAAAAAATCACAGTGCTTTCTGGCATAGAAAACAAAATAAAATCGAACTCCCATTCATAAAATAAATTTTATTTTGGACAGAATATTAATTTATTTTTACTTTTAATGCAATTACACAAGTCCCGGTACTTGGTGAAGAAAGGTAAATAACAGAACGTACATCGCTTACCCTTCCTTGCCGAGATGATACCCATTTCAAGTATCATGTCATTTATTTACTGGTAATGAAATCTGGCCCAGCAGAAGTAACAGACGGTATACACATGTAAATCTGCAACAGAGAAACAAAATGGTAAGCTTCAACTTGTACTTACTGCAAATATGATAGAACGACTTGGCGTGAGTTCGTTAAGGGCCTATGCTCCATTGGGGGTTATAAAGGCAGAAGAAGAAGATGGTGAAGAACCATGCACAAGTGCACACATGGCTATGATTTCCCTGCCTCTCTATAGCATAAATATTACACTATCATCTAGTAAAAAGTAAAGGACCCTTTTACATGCCTTCAGGCTACTGGGCATATAAGGCTAGACCTATATTTTATAGACCAGCCACCACTGGGTAGGTGTTGTGGCCAGCATCATGACGGCCACCTTTACTTCCCAGGACTGTACCTGGTACCCACTCAAGGCTGGGTCGACCTGAGAGCCAAGGTCTTTTTTCTTTTCTCTTTTTAAGTCCAGTTCCATCAGGACTTGAACCCACAACCTTCTAATCAGCAGGCAAGCGTTTAGCCCCTACAACACAGCCACTGCCAACACTATCATCTGGAAAGATTCAACAGCAACAACGGTATGAGGTAGGGCTAATCAGCTACGTTTACTGAGAGGCCTTAATGTTGAAAATGTTGATCATCATGGCCCAGCGGCCGGAGCACCAGCATAGAAAGGTCACTAATGCAATACAGTTGGCATTAATAATCTGAAGGCCTATTTCTAGACCTCTGCAGACCAGATCTGGCCCCGCAGGCCGCCAGTTGAATAGCTCTGTGTAAAGTCTAGAGATAATAAATGTATGTACTTGTATGGTCTCGGGATCAATGCACTGTGGTCTGGGAATTAATGCACTTTGTAAATTGTACTTGTATCGTCCAGGGATCAATGTACTCTGTAAGTTGCACTTGTATGGTCTCGGGATCAATGCACTCTGGTCTGGGGATCAATGCACTCTGTAAGTTGCGCTTGTATGGTCCAGGGATCAATGTACTCTGTAAGTTGCGCTTGTATGGTCCGGGTATTAATGTACTCTGGTCTGGGGATAAATGCACTCTGGTCTGGGGATCAATGCACTCAGTAAGTTGCACTTGTATGGTCCGGGGATCAATGTACTCTGTAATCTGCGCTTGTATGGTCCGGGGATCAATGTAATCTGTAAGTTGCGCTTGTATGGTCTAGGGATCAATGTACTCTGCAAATTGTGCTTGTATAGTCTGGGGATCAATACACTCTGAGTTGCGCTTGCATGGTCTGGGGATTAATGTACTCTGTAAGTACTTGTATGGTCTGGTGATCAAGGTACTCTGTAACCTGTGCTTGTAAGGTATGGAGATCAAAGTAATATGTGCTTGTATTGTCTAAGGCTTAATATACTCTGTAAGTTGTGCTTGTATGGTCTGGGGATCAATGAACTCTATAAGGTGTGCTTGTATGGTCTGGGGATCAATGTACTCTCTAGGGTCTGCTTGTATGGTCTAGGGATCAATGTTCTCTAAAAGCTGTGCTTTTATGGTCTGGGGATCAATGTACTCTCTAAGGTCTGCTTGTATAGTCTAGGGATCAATGTACTCTGCAAATTGTGCTTGTATGGTCTGGGGATTAATACACTCTGTAAGTTGTGCTTGTATGGTCTGGGAATCAATGTATTATGTAATTACTTGTATGGTCTGGGGATCAATGTACTATGTAAGCTGTGTTTGTACTGTCTGGGATCAATGTACTCTGTAAGCTATGTTTGTACTGTCAATGCACTCTGTAAGTTGTGCTATAAATTAGAGCTCAGTATTATCTAAAATACAACTGTGACTGTATACAATGCTGATCAATGTGCTCTGCAAGCTGTGCCAGTAGGACTAGGGCTCACTTTTATTGCAGATGGCACTGTTCCATGTTTCCAAACAACTGTGTTATACTGTGCAATCAAGAGACCTAGGAATTGCAGCCTATGGAGGATTAATGTATTTTTCTTCTTCTTCTTCATGTTCACAGGCTGTAAACTCAGGTGGAAAGTTCTGGTTGTTCATCCACTTCTGGACTTCGGTCTTGTTCCAGAACTTGAGTTTTGCATGCAGATGCATTTCACAGATCTGGCTTATTTGTAAGCAGACTGTAGGCTCATTGGCTCTCGGGCAGATGCGCACAGATCATCATGGTCTCAGGAAAATGGTGCAATGAGAAGTGACCAGAGAATCTGACCGGCGCTCAACAGAAAGCCAAGATGGACTTATGATAAAACTGTTAATGTTGCCATCGGAATTGGAACTCCCTTTTGCTACTGAAGATGGGTACGGGGTGCTTCTGGGAAAGAATGTCCTGAGTTCTTTGATGTTGACTCTAACCCTAACCCCCCACCCACCCCAACCATAGGCCGGCCTTCTGTAACTGTCGGTTAAGTCATTGCCAACAACACCCTCATTCCTTAGTAAAAAGATGAGGGTAACTCTAGCGACTACGGTGTTCGGCAATTTGCGGCCTTTTGGCAATTTCCGTTACCATGGAAACCGTTCGAAACTTGTTTGGGAAATGTTGGCTGGGGTTTCGGGATGGGTCCTAATCTCTCATGAAATTTTGCGATTGGTGTGATTTTCACCAGCTATAAATGGCTGAAAACGGCGGGAAGGAACCCGCTTAACAGCGCATGTCTACGACAGCCGGACGTCCTCTGTTTTTCTGTTACATTAGTTTGATTGAAAATAGCGATAAGTATTCAAAGTTGGCTTTAGGCCTTAAACATTACCAGACATGGTAATGCTAGTTATAATTGAATTCTCCGTCCAATTTTACATTTGTGTATAAAATTTTGGCTCTACTTGCAGATCTGGCCGGCAAGCTGGACGGCGTCGGTCGGCTTAGTGAGAGTTATGTCCCTTCGCCAAACTCAAAACAAGTCGCGGAAAAAGTCACGAATCAAATGACATACTTACCTATCATCATTTGGGTGCGTGTAGGGTTGCGTACGGTTGCGTCTAGGGTTACCTATCATCCTACGGTTGCATGTAGGGCTGCGTAGGACCGTTGCGTGTAGGGCTGCTTATTGCGTGTAGGCTGGATGTTTGCGTAAGATGAGGGGTAGGGTTAGGGTTTAGGGTTAGGGTTTAGGGTTAGGGTTAGGGTTAGGGTTCAGGGTTAGGGGTTAGGGGTAGGGGTATGGTTAGATGTGAAAATTTTCACGTAGGAGGTCGAAATAGTGGCCGACAATCTGACGCTTGTGGGAGTGGCGCCACCGAAACTCTGCCAAATATGATGCCAATAGCGGGCGGCTGGTGCCCAGTTGCTGGCGAATTGTTCGTTTCACTAGCATCCACAGGCCTTCGATTGTTTGTATGTGTATGTGATTGTGCGCGACGTCGATGAAGTTGGTCTGGTGGACTACTACCTCGTGCAGATAGATGCCATGCCTTAAAGTTTGCGACGTTGCTGTAGCCTCACCAAGCGTCAGTCACGATAGTCGTTCCTGGCAGTACGTGATCTGTTATGATCCTCTCCAATGTCGCCGCATCTCGTTTTCGCACAAACTCCAAGTAGCAACGGCCAGTCTCACGCTCTACTAGCCCTACGACCCAACGATCGTGACGGATGCGACCGCGCTGATACTTTCGTCGGAAGAAGTAGCTCTCGTCTACTTCGACCACGATAGATCTGTCGGTCTCATCGAGTCCTCCCAGCTCCATGGTGTGTCTCAACATCCAATTATAGCATTCCTGACGAAAATAATTGTTGTAGTTGACAATGGTGGACCAGCACGTGAGTCTCTCGAAGACCATGACAGTCGTTGAACTTACGCCGGAGAGCCAGTAGTACATCATCATGACTATATTTTCCCGGTCGGCATGTCGCTGTTGGCGAAAAAGGACCCCGTGCGAACGCTACACACCGAGTATCACAGTGATGACAACGCCAACCGTATCTGTCGCTACAGTCCTGGCGAGGCGCTAGCGACATAGGTCGGTTGCACGAGCTGCACAGTTGCATATTCCTTATAAGACTATGCTCAGCTAGCCACCGCAACCACGCATACTTATCAGACATTAATGAATACCGATCTGCAGGAGTTACGTCCGTGGCAACTAAGTCGTGCGTCGCAAGAACGTTGTTGGTTATGTGTGTGGGAGCTCTCTGTCTAACTGCCATTTTGATGTTGTGTTGTTTGATTCGTGACTTTTTCCGCGACTTGTTTTGAGTTTGGCGAAGGGACATAACTCTCACTAAGCTGACCGACGCCGTCCAGCTTGCCGGCCAAATCTGCAAGTAGAGCCAAAATTTATTTCTTGTCAGTGGCTGTTTAGATTTACAGTGACATTTTTCAGACAATTGCTATTATGTGGCTGTGTCTGAGAAAAATTGTCTGCCATCTTGTCCAATGAAAACAAAGCCAAAACAAAAGTTGCGCTGTTTGGTTGCGCAGAGAAAACTTCTTGTTTCTCAGACACAAGTTTTAGCAGCTGTTTTTTACATCTCATCTCCACAAAAACCTACATAGCTCAGAAATGACATACAAGCCTAAATGAGGTACCGTTGGAAAGAGATTGTTTACAGCTATCTAACTGTGCTGGTTTTATTGGTGTAGAGGGCATTCTGAAAATTTGACTAAAGTATTTAGTAACTCCATGCACAGAGGAGTTTCGCAATGAGTTGAATGACTGGATCCACTACGTTACAAAGTCCACCTCGACCTATCGGATCATGCTCATGGAATCACTCAGCACACACACACATACTTATGAGATGCACTAATCTATACAGACGGATCCGTTATACGCCAAAGAAGAAGCGCATGGGCATTTACAGCATGCTCAGCGGGCAGAACAGTCAAAGAAGCCAACGGCGCCTTCTCCATGACAACCAGCAGCATGACGATGGAGGTGATGGCAGTGACGCAAGTGTTTGCCTGGCTTGAAACACAAAAATACACCCGCATATGTATACTCAGTGATTCAATAAGTATGATCCAGAGGGTTCAAGCAGGTTCAGTGCGAAGACAATGGCTTGAATCAATTCAGAAGTCCACTGTGCGAGGAGTCACTTTTATTTTTGTTCCGGGATACGCAGGCGTCGATGGAAATGAAAGAGCTGACAGGTTGGCTGGATTCGCTATCACTACCGACGGTCGGCCTATGGATCATGCTGATATTATCAATGCCCTCAGAGAAATGGGAAGGATAGAGGACTTTGGTGGCAGTGAATCCACATCACTCGCCAGAAAGTCAGACTTGGGAATTAAGATCGGCACAGCAAAAAACGAGACGCACACCGGACATGTCAGAAGACTTGTTAATCAACATAGAACTGGTAGTATTAGCCATCGGACGTTGGGGTTCATACTGAGGGGAGGATCTGAGCACCTATGGACATGTCCGGAGTGCAATGATGATAACCCAACTAACTAACTAACACATACTTATGTGATGTATAAGTACTGTATGCACGGTTTCTGTGAAGATGAAAAACTTCAACAACAGGCACAATTAGTTGAGCAAAAAAAGAGAAGATAACCAGGGAGGATCTCCACGTAAACAAACAAACCTAATTTGAGAAAGTTGCCATGTTGTAGCGACACTGGCAGATACGATGTTAATTTCGAGATCAAAGTTTTAATCAAGTCTCATAAGATTATGACAGAGAGCATGACGCCACACTGGGCACATCATGAGGTAAAAATGAACATAGTAAAACCAAAAATGCACTTAAATGAGAAAGAAATTGATCGAAGAAACGAGGACGTCCATTAAAAACCCTAAAATTCCATTCGATAAGAGAAATCTAAGGTGGTGGTCTGGATTCCCTCCACCTTATCAAATGGATTGTTACATGGCATAACAGAATGGAGGATGAGCCCTCATAGGAAGGGAAAGGATAACAACTCTGGCCATATAATAATCGATATTATGAAAATCAGACGATGGAAACTACCTGGGTGCAAACTTCAACAGCTCCAAGGTCCTAAAAGAAGAATAACAATCTAGAATACAATATGGAAATAAAGTATACTGTGCCCTACAACATCTACACCAGAATCAAAATATATAAAACGCTGATAAGAACCGTTGTTTTATATGGGTCTGAAACTTGTAGAACAAATAAATGAGATGAAGCCTTGTTACACATTTTTGAAAACACTCTAATGATGGATCTTTGGACACATCAAAAATGCAGAGGATAATAGTGTGAAGCAGCGACGAAATTAATAATCTCTTTAAGTAACCATTGTTTACTAGCATCATAGGGCTAATAGACTGAAATGACTGGGGCATTTTGAAAGAAAGTCAGATGATAGGTTAAATAGTCTTAGGCCATGAAGCAGACTTAGAAAACGATGGAGAGATAACATCCAGGCCGACCTACAGATACTTTGTGTCTCTAACTTTAAAGAGAAGGCCAATGAGAGAGAAGAATGGAATGGGTGATGTCTGAAGAAATGAATCTCAACAACTCGGAATGCTGAAGAAAACGAAGAAGAAGGAAAAGAAGAAAAAGAAGGAGGAGGAAAAGAAGACGAAGAAGAAGATTCAACGACTACCAAGAAAAAGAAGTTATTGTTTCTTTGAAGAACGCCTACCTGGCATATCCGGCGCCTTGAAATCGGAAAGAAACATTCTCACGAAGTTTCATCCACAACATTTGGCTGTAATAATTCAAAGAAGTAAACACATTTCATGTTTTTTGAATTCTCAGCACCTAAGCTGTCGAAACTTCTTCCTGTTAGTCGACGTGTAGAGAACTGTACCCACTCACTGGCGCTTGCAAACAGTTTTCATTAGTCTGTCTATAAGTCTGTCTATTATTATTATAGACAGACTAATGAAAATGTATTGTGCAAACAATGATTGATGGATGATAACAGCCGTACAACAGAACGGTATAGATTCTATACCGTTCTGTTGTACGGCTGTTATCATCCATCAATCATTGTTTGCACAATACATTTTTGAAAAATAAATTTGGAAGTTAAGAAAAAGGTAGTAAAATAAATACTGATGAAAAGATCCATAACACTAATTATTGTGCTATTTACTTTGTGCAGTCGAACAAGTAAATAACAGTTAAGACGAATTTCCTCACTGGTAAATCATTTAGTAATGATTGATTTACCAATCAATGTGTAGCCTCTAGTTAACCTCTTGCTCCGGAATTGCCAATCAATGTGTAGCCTCTAGTTAACCTCTTGCTCCGGAATTGCTAATAAAATGACCACACCTGTAGACATCTTGCTTATGACTTCAACGAAGCTTAGGCTGAGATCGAAGTTCCATATTGATTTGTCATTCTTTTTTCCATAAAAGTAACTACAGGTTTTGTTAGAACAGTGGTCACTAACTTTTTTTTCAGGTGGTTTTCCCTCTTTCCACCCCTAGAGTATATAGTATATGACAAGACCCGCCAGACTCCCCCCTTCCCCCCACGCAGCTATTCTTTCTTAAATATCAAGAATTAACAAACTTAATTTTCAAATTGTCCCAAATTGGGCACACAGGCCTGTTTTTCATTTGTTCCTTCCAAACACTTATCTTTCACACAGCAATTGTATTTTACCAGTAAAGCATTTTATGTTATCACAGTTAGCGTCACTGCACTTTGGGCATGCTCAGTCCTCCCATGCAGCCGCCACTTCTAAGTACTTCTACTAATTGTTCCCATGAGAAGGTGGTTATATTTTCTCCTATCTCTGCCTCCAAGACGGCATAGACGGACTTCACCATGCTTTACTCCCATGTCATGCAATCATGTTAGTGTCAAGGGTTCCTCATTATTCACTAGCCCAGTCTGTACAGTGTTGACAATATCATATAACAATATGCATAGTGTGGATATCATGAAGAAAGAAAGACCTCAGTACCAATATCATTCTTGTCCCACATGCATGAATCTTTTTTACTGGAGCAGAGTCCAACATAACAACCAATGCTTGGGGCTGCATGGTCTTGAGGCATGGCGTCCGCCCCAAGTGCTGGAGGTCCCGGATATAAGCTGGGATTTTTGTGTGCAGATTTCTACAAATTTCAAATGGTCTCTGGGTAGTAAAATCGGACACCAGTGTGTATTGTTGCGCACGTAAAAAATCCCTTGGCAGTTGGACATTGAAAAGAGTAGCCTAATGGCGCTGCCCAGGCAAAATTTAAAGTTAAAAATCTACTCAAAGTATTTCAGGATCCTCGCCGGTGCTATGGAGTTCGTGCACTGTGCTGAGATTCTTTAGACTCAGGCTTGAGTTATAAATAGAACAGAGCACTTATGAGTTACCCCTTGTGCCATGATGTTGATCCGTCGTTTAAACCTAAACCTATGCTTTCAGCAAGGCACATAATGATGATGATTTTATTTAACTCTTTTGACTTCTCCTGTGGAGTCGGATTATTTTATGTGCAAGACCTTGGCTCCCAGGTCAACCTAGCCTTAAATGGCGATCTATAAAATATAGGTCTAGCCCCGTATGCCTGAAGGCGTTAAAAATGGTACTTTACTTATTTTACATCTCCTATGGCAGTGATTCCCAAACTGTGCACCCCGGTGAGCCGCGACCTCTTCACAAGGGCGCCACGAAATATTCAAAGATACATGAGTTTTATTTGTTTTGATTTCTACATACGAATAGTTATACTTTTACTTAGGTTAGGGTGCCATAGAAAATTAATTTTTAAAAAAGGCGCTGCGACCAAGAAAAGTTTGTAAAACACTGTCCCATGGGTTGTTCTTGCTACTATTGGACAACTACTGCTGTGGCTGTCTGAAACAGAAAGGGTTAACAGTCAGTGTTATTTCCTCCCACAGATGGCTGCAGAAACCAATGTTGTGTCCACATCCAACCCCTTTCGCAGGGCCTTGAAGACTTCCATCTCAGCTCTGCTGGTGGAGATTGGCTACCAGGCTGCAGAGAACCTCGCCGTGGAAACACTTGTGGAGATGGCACAAGCATGTGGGTTGTGTTTGTGTTTGTGAGAGAGAGAGAGTTAAACAGAGACATGTTTATGTTTGCATATGTTACAACTGTTAACCATCTTGTCCCAGAAACACTTGTGGAGATGGCACAAGCATGTGGGTTGTGTGTGTGAGAGAGAGAGAGTGAAACAGAGACATGTTTATGTTTGCATATGTTACAACTGTTGTTAACCATCTTGTCCCAGAAACACTAAAATAAATAAGTCAGGACCCCATTGCAATTTGAGAAAAATTTTTACACTGATCACTAAAAAATGTGTAAACAATTAATTTTTCTACATTTAAAAATGTTTTTCAAGTGAAAAATCAATAAACATGAACCAAAGTGGAGAATTAAATGGAATGCATTTAATGGGGGCCTTAAAAAATACATGTAATGCGTGACTTATTTCTGTGGCCCCAATTACTGAGGCTTATGGAAAAATTTGAAATCAACTTGGCTTTGAAAAAGCTATTTGGCACACACAAATGCCACCGCCCCCCCCCCCCCCCCTTTCTTCAAGTGCTATATAGTTGATGTTGTATGCATATCTCGACCTTCTAAACATTTGCACAGGCACAAAAACAGCTAATAGTATTAACTGTTTTGTAAACTGGTCACTGTGAACAGGTTAGAAGAATGACATTTACAGGGGATTGAACCCAGCTGAAAGTGTAGGTTGTGCAGTTTCTCAGGCGAAAGTATTAAAAAAGGTACACGACCAGTTTTTATGCCTTGAGGAATTTTGGATTTATGGTGTTAATTCCATATTTTTTACAAATTTCTGTCTGCTATGTGGCGTGCTTGCCATTTATCTCCTCGGGGATGCTACCTTTCAAGTTTGATACCTGAAATCAGAAGATTTCAATCTGTGGCAGACCATCAGAACCTGAAACTGAAAAAAAAAAAAGTTTCTGTGCTGATGGTAGACCAACAAGGCAAGCCCAGACATCCTGTTCAGCCTTCAGAGAAGTTATAATTAGGGCACCTATAACAGCCACACCCAGCCCAGTTTAACTCACAGTCCTGTGCGGGCAGCGATGGTGTTTTCACACCTTTGGAGTATCTGGCAAAAAGTAAAGTACGCTCTTCCACGCCTTTAGGCGTATTGGGCATATAGTGCTAGAAATATTTGTATAGACTAATCGGCACACAGTGGGTGGTATGCTCAACATCACACCAGCCACCTTTATTTCCCAGGAATTTACCAGGTGCCATTTAAGACTAAGTCGACCTGGGAGCAAAGGTTATTTTTGAAAAAGTCCATTCGTTCGGATTTAAACTGGTATAGAGTGTTAGACTTTTATTTTTATGGAACAATCAGAGCTAGATGAGTGATGTGGTCAGCAACACGCCGGCTGCCTTTACTTCCCAGGACATTACCTGGTATTCATTTTGGGCTGGTTGACCAGGAAGCCAAGAACAGTTTTGCGAGAACTCTTCCTTAATGAGGATTTACACCCTAGGTTTTCAGGCTGGAGTGCCATTGTCTAGCTGCTGCGCTACCATTGCTTAAATTCTTACTTTAGAATATCTGTCTTCTCCAACAAAGCTAGAACATATAATCTCTTACCTTAAAGTTTTGTCACGTGTATTGTGGGTGATTCTTTGCCTGGTTTATTATCATGGTCAACACCCTAAGTTGTGAAAGAGTACTTAAAGAAATTTGCCATTGCCTTCTGAATGGTCTGCTGCCAAATCGGAATTGCAAACCATGTTTGTAACCCTTAAGCCACAAACTCTGAAATCATAGAGGTATATATATTTTGTAAAATGTATAAATATAATTCTGTTTCAGACATTTGGGAAGCAGGACGAAGCTCACATGCATTAGCTGAACTGGCTGGCCGAACTCATGTCATGCCCAGCGATGTTGTTTTGGCTCTAGTTGAAATGGGTATACTTATGGATCATTAACTATCATCTACTACTTCTACTTCTCTTTTATTCTGCTATTATTATATATATCCCTATTACTTTTATGACTGTTTTTCGAACCTTTTTTTTATTTTATCCATTCCACATCACCTTTTTTTTTTTTTTTTTTAATTATTTTTCACGTGACCCCTTGATGATTGGAGTATTCTTTTCCATTCTTATTGTTGTGTAGTTAGTTCATGTGGAGAAAGGCCCTGGCCGAAGAGTCGATTTATGTTGTGTGGTTTTGTACACGTGGTTCTGCTTCCCCATTTCATTAAGCTTTTTTAGTCACAGTTCACTTGATTAATTTATTGAAATGGGGGGAACGTTAGAATAAGACTCAGTTTCTGTATATGTGTAGTTTTTATATATATAAATATATCATCATCATCATCATGTGCCCTCCAACTGGCGTAGGCGCTCTTGCGACTCCACAGATCATGATCCCTGGTTGCCTGGAAAAGATCTCTTGATGATATCCCTCCATGCCATCGTTTCAGCCAATCTCTCTTGGTCTGCCTCTACTCCTTTTTCCACTGATCTTTCCAGTTGTCACAATGTTCTCTAATGTTTCTCTTCTCATTATGTGGCCAAAGAACAGTGTTTATCTCTTTCTTATTGTATATATAGACACTATTTAAATTTAAATATAAATATATAAGGTTGAAAAGACGGTGAAGAAAAGACAGTGGCGCTGGTTAGGATACACCTTTGGTTGAACTTCTTGAGAACAGTAGAGCTAGAATGTTTTTACTCCAGGGTCACTGAAATAAAAACTGAAGAAACAACACACAGAGTTTGGAACCAGAGACTGAAGTTAAAAAATGGGGAAAGCTGCAAGCAATATCAAGGAATAGAATAATTTGGCATGGGTTTGTTGAGAGCCCATGCTCTGTTGGGAGGGGGGGGGGGGGGGGATAAAGGGCAGAAGCAGACACAAAGTATCAGCTGACACTTACAGGCAAACAATGTGGGTAATCCAAAGAACAGGTTAATGATTTTATAGAACATTAAAGAAACAAATGGTTTGATCACCTGGTCAGAATGGACCAAAGCAGCCTGCAGCTGGAACAGCTCGGCCTCTGCGACATACAGAAGTTAGTTGTATAGTCTTTAACTCTTTCATTCTCAGCCAACATGCTGAGAGTGTGATCACTTTTTGCCCATGTGTACCAAGCAACCAACAATGTGATCTGATTTTTAGCCTAAGCACACTACAGAAACCTGGCAAGTTATTCGGTGCCCCTACTAGGTATATGTGTTGCTACGTCTGTGAGTCACGTCAGTTTGTATTCACTGTGACTATTGCTACCCTTGGGAATATCCTGAGAGATCTTCTGTACTAAGTTAAAGAATGTTGCAGAAAAATCCCAGCATTTGTTTTTTAGCTGTTTGGTTTTACTAGATAATGGTGCATTCAGTAGTTTGCCATTGCTGAACAGTGGGAGCTCAAGACAGTTTTTGAAATCAGTGCAAAATTGTCTGCTGCCAAATTGCCCGAACCGGGTACTTTGGAATCTGAAGCGCGTTCGCAGCAACCAAGCCCCCAGATCCAACATTGCCTTCGCTACAACCCTTTGTATATGTGTGTGTTCTTCTTTCAGGTCTCGATTTCACAGCAATTCCTAAACATGCCAAAAGAGAAAATAAAACAGTGTTTCTTCCACGTAAGTTGCTTTCTGTGGAAGAATTATTTAGTTTATTCACATTGCCAGATGTTTTTCAAAAGGTAGTATCCATGTCTAGCTTTGCTTCTTTTCTTATGATTATGACTTGCCTTTTTGGCCTTGTCAACCCGTTACAGTGGGTAGAATAAGAAAAGAGGGAGAGAAAAGAAAGAGGGAGCATGGGGGTAGGAAGTGCAAAGAGAGAAAGTAAGTATGGAGAGAGGAAGGACAAGTATGGCTGGAGGGAGATAAAGGATATGGAGGGAGAAAGAGATGGACATTATCCATATACTGGTTATTTAGCCCAGGTGCCTATAAAAAAAGAAAAAAAAATTCTAAAGATAGGTGTGTGTTTTTGCATGACATTTCTGCAGGAAAAAAATTGGGGGGGGTGGGGGGGGGGTTTTGCTGCTTTTGTGATTTTACTAGGCAATTTTAAGTTCAGTAATTTGCCATTGCTTCCTGAATGGTCGGCTCACAATATCATCGTTGAAACCAACACAAGGTGAGGCGATCTGCTGCCAAAGTGTCTGCAGCTGGGGTCAAACCCGACAGCTGGGAATTACAAAGCGCGTCCGCAATTTCTAAACCACAGATGTGGACTGAATTACCTTATTTATGCTTAAAATTATGTGCTGGCTGCAGAATGGAGGATGGCTGCCGTGCGTCCATCTTTGGGAATATTACATGGTGACTTTCGAACCTTTTCCACAGTATGTCTCTTGTACCACTCTTTTTTTAAAATTTTTTATTAATGGCCGGTTGCAGAAGTTGAACCCTGGTACACAGAGGATTAAATTGTGAAACGAATTTCACTAAAACCAGCTGTCATTTTATCAGTTTACTGTATTTTTTATAATGCATAATTTTAAAAACCGGCTACATGAAACCATAGTAGCTTCAAGTTTATCATATGATTTTTTTTGTTTACATAAACTGGAGGGTTAAATTTTATTAATACGTTGTATCAATAAAACTTAACTCTTCTGTTTAATGTAAATAAAAAAGATCACATGATAAATTTGAAGTTACCACCAGTTAATCACACAGGTGATCTTGAATTTCTGGTGGATATGTGTTCAGCCTAACTTAACAATATCTTGTTCTTCTTCATTTTCACCGACTGTAAACTCCGGCAGAAAGTTCTGGTTGTTTGTCCACCTCTGGACCTTAGTCTTGTTCCAGAACCTGAGTGTTGCGTGCAAATCTGTTTAACAGTTCTGAGTTAATTGTATGCAGATTGTTGGTTTCTTGCCTCTCAGGCAAATACACTCAGACTTTGAAGGAAGCTGCCAATTAGTAGACTTTTATGACATGCTAGTTGGGGAGGCGGTGGGTCTGTTCTTGTTTTCCCCATATCGGGGTCCCAGAACCCACACAGGGGAACTTAACAATGTGATTTAATGTATAATATGTCAACTTTACCGTTAAAATTTAACTATTGTAATCCATATGCCATGTTTAGCTGCGCAGACTCCACCAGTGGCCCAGTCAAAGATCCTTCAGGTTGGAGACAAAAGAAAACACCCTTCACACATACCAGAACACCTGCCACCTTTTCCAGACCCACACACACATATTAAAACCCCAGTGAGTTCCAGTTTTTTTTTGTTATGTTTGTGTGCAATATCTGTATATTATGTAGGTATATCATGGCATGCCAGTATATTATATTGGTAGAACATGGTATATAATGTTTCATATGGGTATGTAATGGTATGTCAGTGTATCATGTTGGCGGATCATGGTATATAATGGTATGCCAGTTTATCATGTTGGCAGATCATGGTATATAATGGTATGCCACTGTATATTATTGGTATGTAATGTTGGCAGATCATGGTATATATAGGTATGCCAGGGTATTATGTTGGCAGATCATGGTTTATGATGGCATGCCAGAGTATCATATTGGTATGTAATGATGACAGATCCTTTTATAAAATGGTATGTAATATTGGCAGATCATGGTATGCCAGTATATCATGTTGGCAGATAATGGTGTGTAATGTTGTTAGGGCTAGCTGTTCTCCCATTATATTTTTAATTTTAATATTTCATGCAGATCTTGGTATAAAATTAATGCCATGTATACCATGTTGGTATGTAAGTAAATGATTTTAAAGAACATTCAAGAATCAAATGGTGTGGTCCTCTGGTCAGAATGGAACAAAGAAATTAGCCAGCAGCTAGAGAAACTTAGTAATCAGGAAATGAGATGACTGGGGGCTCCTGGAGTGATCAGATCAGGAATGAGGTCATAACAGAACAAGTCGGCACTAAACCAAGTCTAAATTACATACAAAGACAGCAAATCAAATGGTTTGCACAATTAGAGAGAATGCCTTGTGATACCATACCATATAAGGTGTATACGAAAAGAGAACGATGTAGAGCATTAGGAAGACCAAAAACACTGGAAAGGTAACATCAGAGAACTCTACAACAGCACAATATGTCTGTGGTCAAGGCGGCCGGAAAAGCAAAAAGCAGAACCTTTATCTCTCTCGACACCTGAAGTTGTAAAAGGGGAAGTTAAGAAGAAGAAGCTAGATCGTACTACACAAGAACAGCAGTTTACAAGTGCGTACTACACAAGAACAGCAGTTTACAAGTGCATACTACACAAGAACAGCAGTTTACATGTGCATACTACACAAGAACAGCAGTTTACAAGTGCGTACTACACAAGAACAGCAGTTTACAAGTGCATACTACACAAGAACAGCAGTTTACAAGTGCATACTACACAAGAACAGCAGTTTACAAGTGCATACTACACAAGAACAGCAGTTTACAAGTGCATACTACACAAGAACAGCAGTTTACATGTGCGTACTACACAAGAACAGCAGTTTACATGTGCGTACTACACAAGAACAGCAGTTTACAAGTCAAGAGGCTGACCAAGAAAGAGATGGGTGGAGGCAGGGAAAGAGACACTACAGAAACATAGTGTGAGATTAACACAAGCTACACAACTAGCAAAAGGCATGAAATTACATGACTCCTCCATGTGACACTATATGGCATAAGCAGTAGGAGCTAATCACTAGCATGTAAGTTGTTATTCGGTGTCACCATCTGTGCTGTTCCATCTGTGCTGTTCAATGTTATATTATGATATCATGTACATGTTGTCCCTGTGTGGGTTCCGGGGCTAGCATGTAAGAAGTGACTAATTAGGTTTTTTTTTCTTTATTTAAAATCCGAAGGAACTAACCAATAGTCTGCATTCAAATAAGCCAGATATGTAAAATGGATGTGCATACAACACTCAAGATTCTGGAGCAAGACTGAAGTCCAGAAGAAGAACTAGAACTTTCCGGTGGAGTTTAAAGCCAGTGAATGTGAAGAAGAAGATGTATATGCTGTTTCCTCTAGCTGTTACATGTACTCAGAATGTTTTTTTTTAATACATCACAGTGCTTCAAGCAACCTGCCAATGAATACCAGCTTGTACGTGAGAAGGCAGCCTCACAGAAACGAGATGTTGAAGTTGCCCTTACTCGCTTTATTGCTAAAACTGGCACAACACAGTCTCTGTTTAAAGATGACCCTTCAGCATTTCCGTGTAAGTCATCACTTTCCGTCATGTACTTTTATTTTTTTTTGTATTATTTGGCAGATATGACTGAAAAAGCATTCTCGAGCACTGATATGTCAGACTATCTATGGCATCTTGAAATGTTCAGAATAGTTTAAAGTTTTAGACTTACAGAAGTACGCTTCATTATGGGTGCCTTGTGGGAGAGTGTGTACAGTTCAAAGGAGCAGTTGGAACACCACAGTCTGGTGAGATTGAGCAGAGGAGAGTGACGAGGGGTTCTGGCAGATGCTCGAGGCTCAGAGGAAAGGCAAGACGGACGTTTAATCAGAATGCTGCTGGCACCATTAGTATCAAAACTCTTCGCTGGCTGCTGAAGATGGGGATGGAGCGCTTATGGGAATGCCCTGAGTGCTGTAATGTTGGTTCTTGAATCAAATCAAATCATAGGCGCCATTTGTAGCTCTGATGATGTGTAGACGATATTCAGTCTCCTGCTACATTGTCTGAATTGTGTCCATAGTTACAGCAGCAGCAGCGATGCTCATTCTAAGGTGCTGGATACAACTGTTGGGTGATTGGAAGGGCCAAATTCAATTTGGGCTTGCATGCCCAATTTGTGACCCTTTAAAAATAAAGCTTGTTCGTTCATTTGTTTTTCGGCGCTGTTATAATCTTCACAGTTACATAAAGCATTAAACTTTTCAAGATGCTACATGTGTATATCCATTAAATACTTATTTTATAAGAAGGAGTTTAAATACTGACAGTCATGCTTGATAACCCTGTACAATGAGCAGCAGAAATGGCTTTCTAGCAAGCTCTGCAAGGAGAGTTTTCTTCTTTTCTTTGCATTCACCAGCTGTAAACTCTGATGGAAAGTTTTGGTTGTTTGTCCACTTTTGGACTGCAGTCCTGTTCCAGAACCTGAGTGTTGCGTGTATATCCATTTGACAGATCTGACTCATTTTTGTGCAGACTTTTGGTTCATTGCCTCTCAGGCAGATGCACTCCGACTTTGAAGGAAGCTCCCAATTAGTCGACTCTTACGACATGCTCTGGGGAGGCAGTGGGTCTATTCTTGGTTTCCCTATAATAGGACCCTGTAACCCACACGGGATGAGAGATATTCTGCAAAGAACCTGCTACGCTGTGATGATTTAGTCTGTTTAGTGTATTCTATTGACAACAGTCTTACGAAGAATCTTTCAACCCATTAGTGATTAGTGAGGGTTTTCATCACAGCATTCCGGACAGATCCATAGGTGCTACGATCTCCTCCTCAACAGCTCCATAAGTGTAAAATGACTGATGACGCCTGTTTTTTGTTGATTAATGAAGTATCTTGAGCCCTTAGGGAAATGCTCATTTCTTGCAGCTCCAGTCTGCACTCCCATGTCCATCATCTTAGACAGGGATACAAGGTGCCATTCTTTAACAGTAAACATACTTACGTCCTTTTCAGGACATAATTTTTTTCTTATTTGAAGCCCTACTCTGGCTTTTGCCAGAGGCCGCAATATAGGCAGGCCATCAATATGGCCAGTTGTCTGAACGCGGTTTCTGGGACCTCTCCACGGTGATCCTCATCCGCATGGTGGCACTTTGTGTCATCGGGTGTTTATCGCTTGTGTGATGTCCTAGTGGGGTAGAAAGTCAGTCAGTCAGTCAGTGCCATTCTTCTCCTTGATTGTTTTCCTCTTTGAACTTATTGTGAATGCCCGTGCACTTCATTTGCTCTGAATTACTGATCCATCTGTGTAAACTGTTACATAACCTTAATCTGTGTTTTCACCAATCAGACTATAGTGTCCACAATGCCAGGAGTCTGCTGTCTACAGCTTCTATCAAGTGTGATATGGACTGTAATGTTAGTGTTTGGAGCAGGAGGCATGGGTATCCATTCAATTCCAAAATTAACGTCAGTAAGGCCCATCAAAGATGCAAACAGTGCGGAATGGAGAATGAGAAACAACCAAATAATCTGTTTAAATCAGTGTTGAACACTGACATCAGGAGGGCTAATAGACTAAAATGGCTGAGGCATTTAGAGAGAATGTCAGAGGCAAAAACTACATAAGGGAGATAAATGACTATAGGCCCGGCTCTTTAGCGTTGTTGGTTAAAGCTGTCTTCCTGGCGACCGGGTGACGAACTCCTTGTGGTACGGGGTAGGCAGAAAAGCCACATTTCTCCCAGATTTACGGTACCTATCATGGAATCAAGGCCAAAGGGTTGCAATATCCATAGTACCAAGCCAAAGGGTTAAAACAACTTATGGTTTCTGGAAACTTTAAAACAAAATGACTATAGACAACAAAACAGACAGTGGAAAGATAATCTCCAGACAGGCTTATAAACACTTGAGCCAGCAACCGTAAATAGAAGGCTAGTCACAGTGACGAATGGAGGAGAGTGATATCCACTGAACCTCAGAGAGCTCGGAGTGCTGAAGAAAAATGTGTTCTTTTGATTTGTCTAAATATACTTTTTTTTTTCTTTTTCAGTAATAGCATGCAAGCCAAGCCCACTGCCCTATTTGTCAGCACTGTTGCCTAGCGACTACGAGCTGTCAGCTCAAGATAACTGTGAAGCAGACATGAGTGGCCGGCATGCAGTTCTAGACCATGATTCAATGGGCGATGATGGGTCTGGGCAGACCCTTGGAGACGGTGACATGATTGACAATCCATATCTGCTGCCTGTAAGAGTGGCCAGGAAATCCTGGAGATAAAAGTTGTAAACCTGACTGTGCTTGTGTTGTTTGTTGCAAGGTCATTATGAATAGTTAATATATGTGTGCAGTATGTCTCGTGTGAGAAGCTGGTGGCCAGTGGGTTAAGATGCTGGTTGCACATGTCAGGGATTCTGGATTCTCTGTTCCATCCCCCAGTGAAGTAAAGACCCTCAACAAACTCACCTTAAGTCGTTCTATACTTTGCTGTTACACGCAGCTAACCCCATGCCCTACCCATCTTTTTAAACTTCCCTCTGTCCCTTCTCCTTGTGTTTTTGGTCTGTCTTTATTTATATGCCACTGTGGGTTCCAGTGCAAAGACATTCTAATCATATTGTTTTCAGAACGTGTGTTTTATCTAAGGCCAGTGTATTTTCTTCACCTCATGGTCTACTGGAACTTGTTTAGTTCTTTCAAAAGCTCAACATTAGTGATTCTATCATACATTTAATTCCTTCTATTTTGTGTGCAGGCCCCAGTTATTGAATGCTTGTAGTTTATAAGTAACTGTTTTAGCTTGTCTCCATGTTTCCGCTCCATACAACAGTACATTTGACATTACAATTAAACATTTTAAGTTTAGTAATAGTCTCAGATCTTCAACACTGAGGGGAAAACATGGGCGCATATTTAATCAGGTTGCAACTGATACTGTCAGCTACTGCAAAAGGGAGCCCATTTGTGGGAATGTCCCGAGTTTAGTGTCAGTTCTTGATCCATTCCTTCACACATTTGTTTTCTGATGATCAGGGTAATTTCCTGCTGCAACATTCCTCAAAAGCAAAAAAAAAAAACAAATTCTGACCACACAAAACTTTTCACAAATTTAATGTTTAGATAAACATTAGATAAAGATAGTCCTCTGTTAGGCTGTCTCATATGTCTGTGTGAGGAAGTGGGGAGAAATAGACTGTTCCTCTTCTCGTTGCTTGACTTTCACACCCCCCCCCCCAATCTTTTCCCCCAGAACATCACCCATTACCTATAAGGCTGGCAGCACCTCATTTGTACTGCTTGGGAAAACAGAATACTCCCACAGCTGGGGTCTGAACCCTGGATAACTGTCTTGGCAAGCACGAAAACTAAATAAAAAATATGGCTCCATGGGTTAATTTTATGGACATACCAGAGCAAGTTATTATTCAACGCCTTAAAACCAGGACACAACCGACTTTGCAGCCACACGTACACAAAATTTTAAATCGTCAAATCAGTCATGTGCACATGTGGATTTGCACCTAAGACAACAAATCATATCCCCCAAGACTGTCTCAAATACAACATATCAAGGCAAAAACTTATGGCCAAGAAAAACATCGGTGCAAGTCAAACTTTACTGAATTACAAAGGACAGTGAAGTTCATATAGCGACAACATTGCATGTATAGATTTGATCTGTTTCAAGCGAACAAAAGAATAATAATAATATAGTAATATTAATTGATTATTCTCTTGAAAACCAGAGATATCAACCTCATGTAATAATTTTATGAGTAATATTTTAAGCATTCATTTTCAATTACAGATAATCTAGTCACGAACTAAAGCATACCATTAATGACAAAATGACCCTACAGTGAATTGCAATATTTACAAGTATGAACCTTATATCAATTTATAGTGAAATGTTTGTTGGAATTGGTGTATTAACCTGTCTGGATAATGGTGGCTTTTGCGCTGATAGCATTATGAATGGATTGATCTAAGGCGTTTATAACCAATTTATCAAACTATCAGCTTGGAAATATTTGCAAACAAAATTCATAACTTCCACAAACGAGCATTTCTCAGGTGAATATGTTTACTACACAAAACAAAATGATTATGTTTGTCTTTTGTCCTGCACAGTCAAGCACTGACTGCAGACGCCTCCTTTCAAGCCATTCATAATTCAGTCACTGGCAACTGTTTCCCGTCAAAATGTTCTTGATGGTGACGTTTACAGATTGTTCTTGGACATACTTTTTCTTTGCTGTCTCACTGATACCATCCTGTAGCTCAGTGTTGTGGCTTTATGTATATCTTGCCTTTTCAGGTGGCTTTGGTGATGGATTTGTTCATCTTTTTTGCAGGTTTTAGTTACATCTTTTATCCATCTCTTTCTTGGTCTTCCCCTCGATGTTCTGCTGTAAAAACTCATGCAGTTTGGTCTGGTTGCATTCTCACTAGATGGCATGAATGTATTTGTCACTCTATTTTACTGGCCACAGGACCTCCTCAGCAGGTGATATTTCTGTGAAGAACATGATGATGCCTATGTGTGAACAGATGACAGCTATGTTTTCTTTTTCTTGTCCGGAGGTGGTTTATCTGCATCATCATCTTCACTGTCTTCTTCTTCTTCATCACCTGTTTCTTCTTCACTTCCTGTATTGAAATAAAAATATAAATGAGATGGTGCACAAACTATAACTATTACTATATATTCTCGGGGGGACCTTTTCATGTTTCCAGGGCCAGATTGGAGTAACTTCCCTTGCTATTCATACCTCCTTAGGTCGCTGGACCTCTCCTATGTTGCAGGGGGTGTTACAATATGGTTTGGTTTTGCCTTCGCTCAGCGTATGCAATGTTCAAGGGAGTTTATGTTGTTGTGAGTGTATTTCATGCGCCTGTGTACAAGTAAAAATGACTGCAGGGGAAAGCGCGACAATTCTTGGCTTTCGAAACTAGGATGTTTTTGTATTTCTTCATTCATTGGCGGTGGCTTTCCCCTAAGAGAAAGAAAGTAGTTACAAGGAGCGTCAGAATAAAAAAATATTGCTGTTTCCGCTCTTCCTAATCGTCGGCAGCTAGCAGAACGTAAAAATAATCATGCGAAGCGGTGACAGGACTAGAAAAGAGGCAACAATGACACCGTTCACAATTAGGAAAGCATGACAATATAGGAGAGGTCCAACGACCTAAGGAGGCATGAATGGCAAGGGAAGTAACTACAAGCACTACGTCCTCCTCTTCAGCAGCCAGTGAAGACAAAAATATGACACTATGCTTACAACATGCACTCTGTAATAATTATTCTTTATATGTTTGCTTGTGCATCTCTGTGGCCCAGAGGTTAGAGAATGCGGTTAACAAATTCATGATCCTTGAGTACGAGGGTTTGTGCATAAATGGATAAATGTTTCTCCTGGTTTTTGGAAAAGGGTACAAGAGTAGCACCATGGAAGAGATTATTACCACGTAATATCCCCGCAGACAATAGTGGTAGTCTATAGCCAACCTTCATTGCGGAGATGACCAAGGAGAAAAAAGTTTTTTTTATTTCATGGACCATACATGGCATTGTAAGATACAGTGCTACCTGATTTCATGGACCATACATTGTAAAATACAGTGCTACCTGATTTCATGGACCATGCACATTATTGTAAAATACAGTGCTACCATCCTTTACTTCCCATTTTGCTACCAGTAACACATCACCAATAATGTAAATGACTAGCACCCAGGCCCATAATTAGGATGTAAGACACCCCTGTGCAGTCATTTATTTTACGCCACATTTTTTTCTCAGCTAAACTGACGTTTACATCACTCTTTGTATATAGGCTAACAACAATAATTTGTTTTTATTATTCACTTCAGTTTTAAACAGTAGTGAGCCCGGCTCTCTGGCGTATTTGGCTACCGGATTGCGCGGAGACCGGGTGACGAACTGTTTGTGGTCCGGGTTCAATCCCAGGGGATAGGCAGGAAAGCCACATTTTCTCCCAGATTTACGGTATTTACAATGGAATCAAGGCCGAAAGGTTGCTATATCCATAATACTGAGCCTAAGGGTTAACAACTCATGGCTTCTGGATACTAAAACAAACAAAAAACAAACAGTAGTGAAGTATTTAAACTTGACTGAATAGATAACAGATAAAACAACTATGCAAGCTGGTTCCTAATGGAGCAATGATGCACAATACAAAGAGGAAACTTTCCTAATGATAAAATAAATACAGATCCTGAAATGTTTTAAACTACTAGTTATATCTCGCAGCTCTTAAAATTGTGCCACACTGTGCAGCTGCACATATTGCACCACCACCTAAATACGGCCCACCTAGCTCCAATGTATTCTTAGTGTCCACTGTGACAAGCTGATGGAAAGACTTCATAAGCACCTGCAGCCAGGTTATGGATTAGAAACTATTATTAACATTAGCATGTATATAGTTCTCAAACATGGTTCATCAGCCTGGCAGGCTGTGGATGTTGTACTGGAAGAGAGAAGGAAGCAGTGCAGAAACTACAGTATGGCAAATCCTATCTCAGCTGTCGCTTCTATCTGTTGTCCACACTGCCCAAGAACTTTCCACGCTCGAAATGGACTCATTGGTCATCTTCATACTCACAGTCATTGGTCGTTATTAGAGTCAGATGCAAAGTGGTATTCATCACTTGTGATAGATGAACAAGAAGAGACATAGTCTACAGCAAACATACAGTATGGTTACCAATACAGTATTAATGTGTGCAGGTAATCATTTGTTTTGGGTCAAAGGTAGGCCCGTAGCAGTTACTAAAGTTAAAAGTTCTGATCGACTTCACTGCAGAACTGTTAGTCTGCAGAGTATCACAAAAAGTACAAACTCTGTAGCTCTGGTGCCGAAAGGTAGGCCTTCATATAAAATAGGCCGGCTATCCTCCGAATAACAGTCCTAAATTATCGAGGTGGAAAATATACCCTAACAGGGCCTCAGTCACGTGTCAATTGCGCACTTCCGGGGACAATAACGCCACTGCCGAATCATGAACTTCCGGCAACTTCAGCCACCGCCGAGAGTATCCCCCATGCCAGTCACGCGGCGTGAATTTGGGTTAAACTAGATGGCTAGGACTCACTATAAATAAAATGAAGGAAACTGCAGGAGATGCGGTAGCTGCTGCTCGTGAGTCCCAGCCATCTAGTTTAGCCCCAATCCACGCGGTGTGGGGGATACCCTCAGCGGTGGCAAAGGTCGCTGGAAGTGCGCAATTTAAGACGACGGAAGTGCGCAATTGACACGTGACTGAGGCCCTGTTAGGGTATATTTTCCACCTAAATAATTCAGGACCATTATTTGGAGAATAGCCAATAAGCCTTCACATATGTTTAATGAACATATGAGATGGAGTGTCAAATTCCCTTCTTAGCTGCCTTTCTCAAAAAAATAATTCTGAAATGTGTCTAGTTAAGTACCTCCCAATATGGATTCTGAAGCCCCATTCTGGATAGAAAAAGAATGGACTTACTGCCCCCCTAACAAGCATGTTTTAAAATGTGGCTAACTAGGGTTTTGCTGATGTGTTAGGCCAAAAAACATGCATATATTACTAGCGTATCTTTGTTTCCAATTGATGCCAAAATCACCGGAAGTGGAGACAGCCCAGTTATGTGAGGGGATTGGTGGTTCATTAAAAATAAAGCATTTGTGTACCAGTTACAATAAAACCCTGCCACTAGATTTGCAGTCTAGCTACTACTACTAGTCTAGATGTTCACCACAGCCATAACACTATTAGTATTACTATTAACACAACGTGTCATCCGTCCTTGTAAGGGTGACGCAAGCAAAGCCTGGTGCCTATATTTTATGAGTCTGGATCAAGCTTCTAGTCGCACTGGTCGGAATAAATCCTGTCATTTCTGGAGACTGAACGTGAACCTATGTCCAAGCAGGAAAAGACTAGCTATGCTGCCGTGGACTGAGGACTGGATCTTCTCTGGTGGTGGTGGAATTATCAAATCGATTCTTCGGCTATCCTCTGAATAACAGTCCCTAATTTTCGAGGCCGAAAATAAACCCTAACAGGGCCCCAGTCACATGTAAATTGCGGACTTCCGGGGACTATACCGCCATCCCTGAATTGTGGACTTAAGGAGATTATACCGTCACCGCCGAGAGTATCTCTCACGCCGCTATACAGGCTGAGCGGGGCTAAACTAGATGGCTGGGACTCACGAGCAAAGCTGCAGGGCAGGAGATGCGGAAGCTGCTGCTCGTGAGTCCCAGCCATCTAGTAAAGCGGCGCAGGAGATCTTCTCGGCGGTGGCGGTATTGTAACCGGAAGCCCGCAATTCAAGTCGCCGCAAGTACGCAATTTACATGTGACTGAGGCCCTGTTAGGGTATATTTTCGGCCTCAAACAATCACCCCTACGTAATGGCGGCACCAATAAGAATGACTATGATATTGTCTGCTAAGAACCTACTGTAACATAACTTAGAAATTCTACGTACCACCGCCGTTTCTGCCATCTGACTTCCTTTCGGTTTCGTCACTCACGAAATCACTACTTCCTCCTAAGCTACTCTTCTGAGCTTTATCTTGATTAACCATGGTAGTAAGTACAGCGTTGCTCTGTTCCTGCACATAAATCAGAGACCGTATTAGCTCGCTATATCGTACAACATGATTATCTTGTCCCCCAACATCGTGAGATATAGTTTGAGACGACCCGTCTCTCAAGTTGATAGTCAAGCAGACACTTGCTGCCATCTTGTAGAAGATGATCCGTGCGAGTGGTTTCCCCTTGAGTGTTGATGTCTGCCCGGCTGCCGGACTAATATTGTTTCCCTGTTTGTTTGTGAGCTTGTTGATGAATTAAAAGCACATAAAGAGTGGAATAAAAAGATGTTATTAAATAAAAGACTGTCCACAAATGTGATTATACTAACAGTGGGACAGTCATGGACATTTTTTTACATAATTATTCCTAGCATCTAAAGTTATAATTTCCGCTTTATAAAAGTACTGACTCTTTGGGTCATTGGATGCCTGTAGAAACCTGCAGTCCCAGAAATTAGATATGATATAATTGAACTGGGTATGTTGAGTTTACTCCTATTGGATTAACATCAGCATAGTGGCTCTTTGTGTCACTGGGTTTCGAGCCTTCATGTTGTAGTCCTTTGGTAGGGGAGAAAGACTGATGTATAATTCGTGATAACCTATGCATTGTATGGTAGTTGGCCTTGCCTCCGGATTACTCCAGTAACTGACGAAGTTAACACAAGACTGAAGAGTGGAGTAGTTTCTATGAAAGAATGCCCAAACGCAGTAACCCTTTTGGGGATCACTCGACTCTTCAGTTGAAAACTTGTATGCAGGGACAGGAAGTTGTCAACGGAGTTTCTCAACAGAAAAACACACATTCAGCCTACGGTATGCTGCACATAAGCACTTCTATGTCTTCTGCCTCCTTTTCTGCAAAGGCTGCAGAAGCAGCTATTTTATTAACTCTTTGAGTCCCAGGGGGTTTAGCATCAGAGGCCCAAGGGGTAGTCAAAGGAGATGTAAAATCTGTGCATTTTGCATTCATTGGGCCTCTAGACGGGAACCTATGATGGGTTCCTTGGGACTCAAAGAGTTAAAAAAGCTGTTTTTGCCGCTGCTATCATCACCACCACTGACACCACTACTTCTTCATATTCACTTGCTTTTGTCACCACTTCAGGTATCGAGAAAAATATAAGGTTCTACTTCTTGCTTTTCTAAATACCTTGTCCGTATACACATTTTGCTGTTGTAGAATATCTCTGTAGTATGCCTACATCTTTCCATCTTGTTGGTAGCCTTGTATGCCTTATCCCCGTGAGGGCTGCAGGGCTCCCATTGTGAGGAAACCAGGAATAGACGCACTGCCTCTCCAATAAGCATGTCATAGAAGTCGACTAATTGGGGGCATCCTTTAAGTGGGAGTACATCTGTCTGAGAGGCAAGGAACCAAAAGTCTGCATACAGATAAGCCAGATCTGTAAAACGGATGAGCATGCAACACTCAGGTTCTAAAACAGGACTAAACTCTGCAGGTGGACGAACACCCTTAACTTTCAGCCAGAGGTTACAGCCAGTGAAAGCGAAGAAGAAGTTGTGTGTCTTATATGATATGGCGTCACAAGGCATTCTAAGTGGGGAAACCATTTGATCTGCTGTCTTTGTATGTATGTCCACAATGCCATTAATCTGCTCTCTGCTTCTATGTACTGTAATGTTAGTGTTTGGGGCAGGAGGCATGGGTGTCCATTCAATTCCAAAATTAACGTCAGTAAGCCCCATCAAAGATGCAAACAGCGAGGAGTGGAGAATGAGAAACAGCAACAAAATTCATAATCTGTTTAAATCACTGGATTATCAGGGCTAATAGACTTAGATAGCTGAGGCGTTAAAGAGAATGACAGAAGCAAAAACTGTACACACGGAAGTTGAACGACCGTAGACCATAAGACAGACGGTGGAGAGATAATATCCAGGCAGACTGATTTGATCTGGTGTCTTTGTATGTAATTTAGAATTGGTTCTGACATCACTACTAATACTACCAATCCTGCTTCTGACAACTACTGCTATAATAAAAAGTATAACAAATTGAATGTCAGTAGTGCATCTATCATTTGAAGCCAGACTTTTATGTTATACTCTTCCAGAAAATGGGAAAACTAACCCAACACACTCCAGCTGCATTATTTACCATGAAGGGGGTCTCAGTGGCAGATTGGTCAAGCCATTTGTTGCTTCATGGGTTCGTTTCACGGTGGTGCTGTTCAATTCACAAGTGCAATTTTTTAACGGAGATCCTTAGGGATCATCACTGGAGCTATGGAGGTCGTGCTCTGTGCGATGCTTTTGGCAGGCAGCTAGCTGTTTTGTGGAGAGAGACTGAGCCATATAAAATCTGGTGCAATGAAGTCAGTCCTCTCATCTTTACCTTTATCTGCCATGGGGTTTCCTTACACTTTTCCACAACAATTTTCAGCTTGCCATAACTGTAGAGAGGCCATGCCATTCCATGCTGTGATGAAATGTCAGATGTGTGAAAACTACATCTGCTGTCACTGCGTGCGGCAGTGTGCCAGCTGCCATCTACATTTTTGTCATCTGTGTTTTGTTGTCAGGTAAGCAGATAAGTCATCTTACTGTGTGTATATATGTGTGTTATATTAAGAAACGTGTTTGTTAGTGTGGCTATGTGTGCATGCAAGCTAGTATATGTGTGATGTTTGTTAATGGATTCCTTTTGTGGGTTCTGGGATCCCATTTGGAGGAGAGAGAAGTAGATCAACTGCCCCCGAGGTCCCCCCCCCCCTCCCACACAAAAAACGTGTGTTGTAAAAGGTGACTAAATATGTGTATTTCTTCAAAATTAGAGTGCACCTGTCTTAGAGGCGAGAAACTAACAGTCTGCTTATAAATAAGCCAGATCTGTTAAATAGATATACAGAAACCTACACTTCTGGAACATGGTTAAAGTCCACGTACTAGGAGTAAATAATTTAAACAAAAAAGTAAAGGACCCTTTTTTCAAGCCTTTAGGCGTATAGGACATATAGGGCTAGACCTATATTTTATAGACCAATCCACACAAGATGGGTGATGTGGTCAGCATCACGCCGGCCACATTAACTTCCCGGGAGTGTAGCCGGTACAAACTCAAGGCTGGGAGCCAAGGTCATTTTTGAAAAAAGTCCGGCTCGGCCAGGGAGCGAACCTACGACCTTCCAATCCGCGGCGAGCGTCTGGCCGCTCCACCACGGTGACTCCCAGGAGTAAACAATGAGTATATGTAAACTTCAGTAACCATGTTTTCGGTTGTGCAGGGCAATGAACAGGCTGATGGATTGGTTAGTGCAGCTCCTGTGGGTGGTGTACTACTTTATGATAAGGCAGATATGGTGAGGCTTGTCTGGAATCAGATGGACATTGGAATAGAGCAGACACTTGTTACATCTTGAATGACTATTTTGTGTGGAGCCGAGGTTCTAGATTATATTTAGTACAGAGGGGAAGACAATGGTGAACTTTTAATCAGGTTACAACTAGCACAAGTCTTCTTCTTCTTCACGTTCACCAGCTGGCGGGAAGTTCTGGTTGTTCATCCACTTCTGGACTGCAGTCCTGTTCCAGAACCTGAGTGTTGCGTGTGCATCTGTTTTACAGATCTGACTTATTTGTACGCAGACTGTTGGTTCTGTGCCTCTCAGGCAGATGTTCTCTGACTTTGAGGGAAGCTCCCAATTAGTCAACTCTTAGGAAATGCTTTTAGGTAGTCAGTGGGTCTGTTCTTGTTTTCCCTACAATAGGGTTCTGGAACCTACAGCTAGTGCCAATAACATGGGACTCTTTTTTTGGCTACTGAGTAAGAAGACTAAGCACATGTGAGAGTGTTCCAAGTGCAGTGATGTCAATTCTTGATTCATTCATTAATGTATTCTTTCCTTATCACACATATTCCAGTATATTTCTATCCATTTACTCCTCAGTTATGGTCAGTCTACGGAACGGGCTATTTGCTTCAAATGTCAGGGAGGTTAATGAACAAATAAATCAGTGAATAGTTGTACAAACTCCTGAATAAAGACAGAAACACACAGAAGAAATAGAAGAGACTCAGAAGCATCAAAATAACAAACAACAGATACCCCTGTTGGCGCAAGTATTTTTTTGCTGAATTAAGCCTCACCAATAGGATCTCTCTCTCTCTCTCTCTCTCTCTCTCTCTCTCTCTCTCTCTCTCTCTCTCTCTCTCTCTCTCTCTCTCTCTCTCTCTCTCTCTCTCTCCCCCTCCCCCTATTTTTTCTGTTTTTTTCTCTCTCTTTTACACATACACACACATACACACACACACGTGTAAGCAGAAATAGAGACACGCAGTTTATTGTACAGACAAATTATGCAAAGAGATCTGATAATTTTTCTCCAGGGATGGATTCTCGTAAAACAACAAATTAAAAAAAAGAGAAAAGATTGATGGAATTAAAGCAAGGAAAGGGCAAAGACAATAAATACCCTGATGAATTGGCCATTGGGGGGGGCGGGGGAGGGGGGGGGGGTACATGATGAAAACGAGGCATCCGTTTAAAAAAAAGGAGCTGCAGAAAAGAAGAGAAAGTGACACTAACATATAAACAAGTTCAAGCAAGACAGAAAGTAGGAGCATTTTACAAAAAAAAAAAAAAAAATAAATACTACATGAATGTGATATGGACAAAACAATGGACATAAAAAAAATGGATCTGATCACATTAACTATAAAATTATGTGAACCATTATTATATGTGGGAGTCGTCGCCTAGCGGATCGGAAGGTCGTGGGTTTGCTCCCTGGCGGAGGCGAACTTTTTAAAAAATGTCCTTGACTCCCAGGTCAATCCAGCCTTGAGTGGGTACCATGTGCAGTACCGGGAAGTAAAGGCGTCTGGCGTGATGCTGACCACATCATCCATCTTGTGTGCCGATTGGTCTATAAAAATATAGATGTTAAATCTTCTTCTTCTCAGTCTTCACCTGCTGTAAACTCTGGCAGAAAGTTGTGGCTGTTCGTCCACTCCTGAACTTTGGTCTTGATCCAGAACTTGAGTTTTGTGTGTACATCCATTTTACATATCTGGCTTATTTGTATGCAGACTGTTGGTTCCTCACCTCCTAGGTAGATGCACTCCAACTTTGAAAGGCACCCATAGTTAGTAACCTCCTGCGACATACTTGTAGGAGGGGAGGGGGCAGTAACTCTGTTCTTTGTTCTCCAAAATGGAGCTTCCCAGAACCCACACAGGAAAGATTATCACTTTAAGGCACAGTCATCCTCCTTTTGTTGTGCCATTATACGCCACATTGGGCTCATAGTGTAGTCCTCAATTCGGTCGTGTCCTGTGCACTGCCTTCCTTTTTCTTCTGCTTCTTCTTTTTCTTCTTCAATAGTCCTCTTCTACCTTTCAGGGTTAGGTAAGGTGCAAATATCACAGCCATGTTGTAACAGGCACACCACATTAACATTTTTGGATGAACGGAGAGAGAGGATACATCCCATTTAATGTTCATCAGTTTCCTCAGGCATTGATGCCTACATTGTCATACATACTGTAAATATATTTTATTTATATAAATTAGCACCCTCTAAAATGTTGGACTGTCCTGTGACGTCATCTTGGGAAGCATATTAATAAAGAACAAAAATAAGAGAAATATCTGGGTGGCCACTGGGATCAACAGTTATAAGACAGAGAAAATGGCGCTATATTGGACACAGCCAGCGAAGAAACCAGCAGAGAATCCCCAGACAGGCACTAAGCTGGATTTTTTACGTGCAGCAATGCGTCTGATCTCACTACCCAGAGACCAGGGGGAATTACTAGAAGTCCAAGTCCACGTGAGAAAATCTCAGCCCTTACCGGGAATTGAACCCGGAACCTCTAGCACTCAAGGTGGACACCATGCCTCGAGACCACCCAGCCCTGTCCTTTATTTTAATGTATAAACAGTATAGGTCCTTTATGAGCATATGCAAACTATTTTTACATCTGAATATTTTATTTATTGGTGTGAATTACTTTGCACAATATATATAATGCCTCTGATTTTTGTTTGTTCTTTTGAAGAATCTCTTGATTGTATGTTTTTCTTTTTTAAGATGTTTATGAAGGTGCTGGAAAATTGAATTTAATAAATTGATTCAGTGAAAATCAATTAGCCACATGTTACTGTGTGTCTTAAGCTGTCATAACAGTGTTGTGTTTAGATAACTTTTTCTTTCCATTAAATGTTGAATTAAGAATCAACATCACAGCACTCAGGGCACTGCCATAAGCACTCCGTCCCCCATCTTCAGCAGCAAGCTAAGTGTTCCGATTTCGATGGTGCCAGTAAGTGTCAACTTACTTGTCTGGAAGGAAGAGCTTGAGAAGAAAGGGATGGCCATCAGTATCTCCAAAACTAAAACCGTGTTGATCTCAAGAGAGAAGAAGAAACACCAGATCATAATGGGAAAGGTTGCAGGGGACAGGTAAACCAGTTCAAAATGAAGGCATTAAGACTGAGCTGGCTACACAAAAAGCAGCTACTGGGAGACTCTTCCAGGCCTTAAACCGAGGGTTGCTTCGCAAAAGAAAGTTGACAACAGGACTAAAATGGCTGTTTACTGCTCTACCTATGTACCAGTCCAGACCTATGGGTGTGAGTCATGGGCAATGACAACATCTTACAGAAGCCAGCTTCAGGCCTCAGAAATGAGATATCTGAGAAAGGTGGCCCAAGTGAAAGAAAGGACAAAGTCCGCAATCTGACAATACAATACGCCAAGAGTTTGATATCCAGTCCTTACAAACCCAAGTGGATCAGTCACAGTTACGATGGTTTAAACATGGATGCAGAATGGATGAAAATCGGCCACCATGGCAGGTATGGGAAGCTAAAAACCAGGGAACCTGACCTCCAGGGTGACCAGTTTAAAATATGTCACTCTATAGCAGCGTATTTTGCATTAACTCCACAAACGGTGATTTCAAACAATAGGATCAGCGATATTAAAAAAAAGGAGTAATTTAAAAATACACTATAAAGAACTGAGTTACGTTCACGTAAATCTCTCCAAACAAAGTAGGTCACTTTTCATTCACCAGTTTGTTGAACTGGTTGACTTTCCTGAAGGTTACGGGTGTGTCCCTCTCTGTTGTTTGCTTTTTGTGGTGTGTTGCATTTACATTTTCATTCCGAGAAAGAGAATGCCTGTGACATAGGTTGCAGCACGCTCTACTGTGACATAGGTTGCAGCACTCTCTAAGGGATTGTGTTTTGGTAAGTTTCTCCATGTTTTTGGAGTGTTACTAACGCTGGCGTGCTGAAATATACAACACACGATATCAAACGGCATTGCGGAACACCGCCGTAACTTTGTGCCACGGAACAGGTTCAGGAACTACCAATCAGAAGTGAGCTATGAGTATATGGGCAGGGCGTGGGAAGATTATTGTTATGTGTACCAAGAACTGAACTTTCTTTTCATAGAATTGATCGGCTATAAATACCAGTGGAAAGTTCTGATTGTTCGTCCGCTTCTGGACTTTGATCGTGCTCCAGAACTTCAGTTTTGCATGTACATCCATGTCACAGGTTTGGCTTCTTCGGGTTCACCAGCTGTAAACTCTGGCAAAAAGTTTTGGTTGTTTATCTACTTCTGGACTTTAGACTTGTTCCAGAACCTGAGTGCTGCGCGCACATACGTTTTACAGATCTGGCCTATTCATATGCAGACTGTTGGTTTCTTGCCTCTCAGGCAGATGCACTCCAACTTCTAAGGAAACCCCCAGTTAGTCGACTCTTACAACATGTTTGTTGGGAAGGCAGTGAGTCTTCCCCCCCCCCCCCCCCACCACCTCCAACAAGGTCCTGGACCAACATGGAGAAATGGCTTATTTATGTGCAGACTGTTTAGTCCCTCGCCTCTCATGAAGATGCATTTCGACATTGAAGGAAACACCCCTAATTAGTTGACTTTTAACGAAACACTGTACTTGTTAGAGGGTTGTAGGTCTACCCCATAATATGAGCCTCGTTGCCCACACAGGGATCATAAATGAGGCTCTCCTCCGAACTTCTATCCCCGCAGTATTGCGGCCTCAAATATCCGTTCGGGGCGATGTTCAATTAAAAATACCGACTTGTCGGAGTTCCCGCCGAGGAACAAATTGCGCAAAACTAGGAGTACCTTACAATGTCACGAGACGCAACATTGCAGACGATAGTAGCAGACGATAAAAGCGACCGGTGACAATTTCGAGACATTACATACGACGAAAGCGATATAGCGGGTAGACCACGCGCTCCACGCAGATTAGCAATACTGTTCTTCCGATTGGGGATTTAGCAGCGGTAGAAGTCAGACCTGTGGGCATGCGCAAAACGCGATTAAACTCACCGCCAAGTGTATGCCCCGCGGATGGGGGGCTAAACTAGGTGCCTGGGACTCAAGAGCAAAGTAATTGGATGAAGTTGCAGGAGATGCGGTAGCTTCCGTTCGTGAGTCCCAGCTACGCGGCGCGGGGGATACGCCTGGCGGTGATGCATAGTCACAGAAACAGGTCCGTAAGTAACATATCGCTGAGACCCTGTTAGAGCATTTGTTTCGTTTTTCCGAACCGATCCTTGATTTGCCGCGATTTGTTCGTCGGCTGCAAGTTCGACAATGGAGAGTGTCAACGGTCGCTATTATTATCACCTCTTCTTCTTCTTCTGCCATCACTCCATATTTTCCGAGGTCTTCCTCTCGCTTTATACCCGTTGTAACGTTTTAGTGTGGCTCACTGTGGCAGATAGTACCAGGGCATTCTTGTTAGGTGTCCAAACCATTTCATTTGTTGTTCTTTGATGACCTGTAAGACTGGCTTTATTCCTAGCATTCGTCTGATTTCATGATTTTGTATTCTGTCTTTCCTTGAAACTCCTGCAGCTCTTCTAAGGCATTTCATCTCTGTTGTCACAATTTTACGTTCATTTGAGGATGTAAGTGTCCACGTTTGGCACTGATAGCATAATATTGGC